ATGCTGATAAAACATCAAAATAGAAAGGGTTTGGAGTTCTACCTACGATGGTCTGGGATGGCCATCACATACACTTGCTGGTCTCTGGACATGACAGGCAGACCCATGCGAGCTATCTGCGGGTACGCCACTTGATCCAGCGACCCCTCCCCCTGCTTCTCCTTCTGCAACTTGTCAAACTCCAGATAGGTCCGTGCCAGTCTGGCTCGGGCGATGATGGACAGTTTTGGTATGGGCAGAGGCTTGAAACTTTGGACGTGTCTCACCAGGTGCCTTGCGTGGTCCCTTGTCTGTGGAGGCAGTCCCCACGGGAAACACACAATGTGTTGATCGGTGTCCTTAAAAGCCAGTTCGTCTCGCACGCTTTGTTGCGATAATACCACCTCCAGATGAATGAGGAGGCACCTCACTGCCAGCGTGTCCATCTCCGTGATAAACTCGAGGGAGAAGGCAGGCAGAAGAGTGCGTGGCTGGTTCTTTGGGTGGAAGAGAAGGCCAAACATTGGCAAGAGGTTGTAGACGATGAGCTCGTAGCGCTCGACCATCTTGATGATCTCGTCGCGAGGACACGTGGTGAGGAACTCCTTCATGACGTCGCAGGTTTTCTGCATTTGGGTGGGAATCCCGGAGAACGGTGGTTTCAGGTGGTTGCAGTTGTGCATAAACTTCCACGCCACAAAAACAGAACAGAAATACCTGCGGAGCAATCACACAATAGCTGGAGTAGCTTCATTATTCAGTTTTCTATGTAGCTAAAATACCCATGCTTGCAGTTTCAGCCTCTGTTTGAAAACCACATGTTGAAAGCTTTTGCCAACACCCAAAGAACTATTATGTGATTTCCTAGCACATGTGCTTAGTTCTATTCTCTTTAGAAAGAAAACCACAAGGGCAGATGGAACTCCCCACAACAATACATGTATACAGCAGGAAATAAACTTTCAGGGAGAAATCTTTTCTCTAAGGACGCCCCTGAAATGAGGACACCTCTCTAATAATAATATGCTATTGAACCCCTGAAATAAGGACACCTCTCTAATACCATTGGTGTCTATAATAGAGGGGTTCCACTGCATACAGTGTGTGTATGTATAGCCACACAGGGAAGGGGGCTGTGTGCTCACTTGATGGCCACAACCTCCTCTGGACTCTCCCCAAAGCTCTCCCTGATCCGCGGAGCCTCCAGATATATGACAGACGCCTGGCCGAGGTCGACGATAGATTCGATCCAGATGAGCCGTAGGAGGACGATGTACACGGCCATGCAGGCCTGTCGGTTGGTGACCGAGGGAGACACAGAGAGATAGACCAGGTTCTCCGTGCAGATGTGGTAGGTGGTCATCTCCGTGAACTGCTCCTTGTGCCTCCTCATGCTGTGTGGTGGGGGACGTCTCAAATACAGGTAAACAGTCGAGTTAGTTTGCTATCTATAGGCACTAGTGCTGTTCTCTTATGTAACAACACAGGGGTTGCTGATCCACACATGCATTCTCCATTTTTGGTTATCGGAGCGCTTTACATGCACATGAGAACTGTTCCCTAGGCCACACACATATCAGCATCTGCATTTAAAAACCCTCGACAACAAGTGGTTGAAATAAGGCAGATGGACTGCAGTTGGTACTCACGTCCACATGATCTCCAGGACTGAACTGATCATATCCAGAATGATGAAGTCATTGTGTTTCTTCACGCCGGGCGACCCCATCATGTCTTCCACCGGTCTGAACGGAATGAGCCTCACGCGTGACATCATCGACACCACGTACCCTGGGACGTCGTTCTTCACCAACTCCTTCACGTACTCCTCGTTCCCCGTGGCAAAACTTCGCAGGGCGTCTAGTAGCGCAGCCTCCATCAGTTTCAGGTGTATAAACGACTGGCCCCAGGGCATCTCTGTGATGACACCGAGGAGCTTGACCAGTTTACCCACGCCGTTGTTGTAGAGGAAGTAGGCCTTGTTGGCTCTCACGCGGGGGTTGTCGGGAGGCGAGAAGTAGTTCCCGGCGAGCCTCTGGAAGAGACGTTCGTTTAGTCCGACATTTGCGAGGAGCTCGACTTCCTGGGATAGCTCGGTGGAGACGAGAGGATGGTGGAGATGGAGGAAGGTACACATGTAGTCCACCCACGTCAGTACCCTCTTGACCTTCTGCACCTCCGCCTCGCAGGTGTAGGACACCTTCAGAGGGGGAGGGGGTGAGGAAGAGGAGAGGGAGTGTGTACGTTTCAATTAAACATGGTTGCTTTGAACCACTTTGAAAGTTTGCTTGGGCGATTAAATCTACTCTAATTTCACTTCCCGGACCACAAAATCGACCTCCCTCGCGTTTATTTTACTCCATTGGCCCAGAAACTTTACTCCCTCACACTGTCCTAAATTCCTACAGACCACAATTTCTATCTCCTCCCTCTAAACACTCCATTATATACCTCAACGGTGTCTCCAGCCTTTATCTTCAGTTTCCCATCGTTGTCCACCAGAATGTGTCCATTGTAGGAGAGGTTCTGGATGGCCACGGGCACACTGAACTGCTCCTCAATCTCCTCCTTGAGGGCCTTCACAGTGTCCGGGACAGGAGAGCATGGTAGCTCGACCTCTGTGCTCCCTCCCTTTACCGAGCTCTTCAGCACAAGGTTGTAGGTGATAACCGGTTCCTTCGCCTTCTGCACATAGAAAAACGCCGTGCTAAACGCATACTAGCCACTAACGGTAGCTACTCTGAGATTTTTGTCAAGTGTGCTTGTGTGTGGAAAGTGCGTGCCTTCTTCTGGACGAGTTTGAGAAGCCCCTTCAAGTCGCACAGCTCCTCCGGGATCTTTCTCCTGTCGTTTGGGTCAAACCACGAGCAGATGGAGTAGTACTGACAAGTGAAAAGGGTGAGGTGTGTTTAAAGTTTGGACCAAATGCTAACCTTCAAAGGGTTTTTCAGTGACTCTCTCTGTTTGGAAGCGCACATATCGGCCTCTCGTGGTCAAACACGCGAAGCTAGACCCCACCCCCCGATGTGGGCGTGGTTTACGTATGCCGAAGGAAAGGGGGTGCGGTCTACCTGCCGATTACAAAAAGCGTCGTAAACAAACTCCCGCAGGTCGTTCTGTGCTAGTTGTGCTGTGTTTATTCCCGATCATCTCCCTCAGGATAACTCCAGAGCCGAAACAATCTTAACGACAGACGTCTCTCTAAACGGTTTCTGAACGGCGCTATAAACGTTTGCTAGAGGAGTCTCGGGAGAATGGGGAACACGTGCGAATGCGTGAGACGGCAGGGAGGCGACGAGGCCGAGGACGCGCTCCTGGCAAGCTTGGTGGCAGAGGGAACGGCAGAGGGCAGGCCCCGCGGACCTCCTCCCCCTTACCAGGTGTGTGTACATTGTATGCAAGACGAGGAATAACGGAATGGCGCAGGCAGCGTTTTTTCACCGTCTTTGTTCTTCCGCTGCGGTCGAGTTGTTTTTCCCCCGAGGATCAAGAATGAGGTATAATTCCGTGGTTAGTTTGAAGATTCACGAACGATAAGCAACCGTTTACCTTTTTCAGACCCATTGTCCATGTTCGTACTGCCTCCCATGGGTTGTGACAGTTCATGAATTACCTACTCCCTTGTATGCTAAGACCCACCTGTTAATGTCTCTTGCATGCACACCCACTGCACCATATGGTATTGGATTCCAGCCAAAATATTTCTTAGCAAAAGCACCAGGCAGTAGCTAATGTGTATCTCTAACTGTTGCCAAACCCATCAGCTGATGTTGGCTAATAGTACTGCAACTCTGGCATACAACCAGGCAATTTCTCTGCATTGCCTAGCTGTGCAATTACTGGCATTGCTGACACAGTCTGTTTGTTGATGCCTCCTGCAAGGCATCTGTGTACGTATACACTCAGCAAGCACTGTCAGTCAGTCATCTCAGAGAATGTGCAGTGAATGGGACAGTGAATATCTGCTGCTGCTCCTAGTATGGAGCATGTGGAAGTCAGATGATCTTCCAATTAGGCTGCATGTGGAAGTCAGATGATCTTCCAATTAGCTGTGCCTGGTCCACTCCTACTCATGCTCAGCTGCATGACCTGCCTTCCTTTGACCACTCACACTATAGGACCAAATCAGTATAGTGAAACTGCAAAAGGAGGCTATGCTTGTCTATGCGTTCTAGCCTTCCGAGAAACTGCTGCACATGACTGTGGGACAAAGGGCTACCACTAAAGCCCAATTATAGTACTTCCCTCGGCCCATAGCACAGAGCAAACAGTTACTTCAGTCGAGTGAAGCCCTTCATTCTTCCTCTGTCTTGTGCCAAACAATTCCCCTGAGACCAGCACACCGTGTGTTGCCCTCTTTGGACCAGATGTAGCATTTCCTCTAGTTCATGTCCTCTGTTGTGTAACTTCCTCTGCACCGCTCAGAGGAGAGGAAATTCATGCCATTCTTCTGGGGTTTTCATCTTCCCCTGGACCACCTTGCCCCTTCTCTGTCCCTATTGCAGAGTTCCAGCATGTATCAGTCAAAGCATGTATCAGTCAAAGGCTGGTATATAGTGTTGAGTCAGTGGTAATCTATAGTCTTGCCTACCAAACTGACTAATGCACACTGCACATACTCGCTGTTACTTCTCAGCAATACAAGGATACCAGGTGGACGGGTTGTTACTGCATTCTGCCAGTGTGTTAGTGGCTTCATGTGCTGGCATCGGCGTTCAGTTGTAGTGCTGTTCTGCCACTTGATAGCCCTGCCTGCATACACGACTGTCCTTCGTTTGTGCACTCGCTGTGCGTACATCTCAAAGGATCTCAAAATGTAGTAAATTTGTCCGCGCAGTGCTTGCCAGGTGTGCATGTGTGTACTGCCAGAACAGGTCCTGGGAGCAAATGGGGTTTAAACTTCTGTATCTGAACATCCGTCGTGTTGTGTACAGAACCAAATTGACTTACATCGTTCCCCTCCCTTACGTAAATGTGTACTCTTGCTTTACACCCCCATCCCTTCCTTCTCTTACCCCCCCCCCCCCTCTCTTTCTCAGCCACAAGCTCCGGTTTACAACTACCCACTGGCTGCCATGACAGAAGAGAGAAGAGCTCAGTTAGTCCGCAGGATCACCATCATTCAGAGCCTACCCTGCATTGCCTATGAAGTGAGGGGAGACAAGGACAAGAAGAAGGAGCCTAGAGAGTGAGTCAGCCATTGGGGAAACACACATTTGCCTGGCTGTGTGTCACGAGTCTTATTAGGTCATTGTGTTCTTTTGCTGCTCTTCAACATGCACTTGTGCCTCCCAAGTGGCATTTTGTGTAGCCACCCTGTACACATGATTACGGTAGGGAGTGTCGTGTTCCATTGACTGTGGAGAATGAAATGTGTCTAACGGCCCCAGAGCCCCTCCTCCCATTCACAGCTGGCTTTTGAGTAAACTCACCAAACAATTACATCTCTTTGGGTTACAACTGCCCATTCACTCAGAATCAAAGGAACTCCTGCTTTCTTTCTGTACTGCACTACCTCTCTCTCTCTCTCTCTCCTTCCCTCTCCAGGTGTGCCATATGTATGATGGACTACTGTGCAGGAGAACTCATAAAGCTCCTACCGTGCATGCACTTCTACCACCTCCGCTGTATCGACGACTGGCTCATGCGCTCCCTCACCTGCCCCTCATGCATGGAGAGAGTCGACTCCGGACTCCTCGCTACACTCTCCTCTGGAGGAAATCACGTTAGCCCAGGAGGCAGAGGGTCTTCTTCCAGGGGAGGGGGCGGGGGAAGTGGGCGGGGTCTCGGGTTCAGTCTCCGACGGCGACGCAGGGGACAACAACCCAGCGAGAGCGAGAGTCCGTTGGTCTCAGGGGTTGCTGGGAGTGGCTCCAGCAGTCGCTCCAGTTCGACCAGCTCCAGCCGCGAACACCTCACATCTGGGGGCCCAATTTCCTGGCCGGGCCAGCAATCTCCCCAGAGGGTCGTCCGGAGTGGCTCAGGGACAATCTTCCTCCCTCCGTTCCCCATCGGCCACATCACCAACTTCCCCATGTGGCTCCTCTTCACAAAGTTTCACAGACCTCGGACCCCCTCCACAAATATCCAGCTCCCCTTCGTCCCCCGTGGTGTTCCTTCCTCACATCTCCCCTCCCCACTCCCCACAGTTCCCTCATGTCACCATCCACACCACCCCCTCCTGCTCCCCTCCACCGTCACACCAGACCCAAGTCTCAACCAACTAAACTGAGCCTTGCCCCATGCAGTCACCACAACAGGCACTCTCAGTATAGTAGTCTGTTCACAGCATCACATCCAGTCAATCAGTCAGCCAGTATATACCACATATACTGTGTGTACAGATGTTGTGTTGTATGTACGCATGTATAGCTCCATTCTTGTATGTTATCAATCATAATTATTGAGTAAACTATGGTACTCCACCAATCATAAATACTATAATATAGCCGATCCGACAGGACCACTGTAGTATTATTATCGTATTTAGTGATCAAATTACTAGAGTATAAGTATTACACCAATCAAAATGGACATGAAAGAAAGCTTCTTTAGCAGATGAGCCACTATGGGTGTAGAGTAGATGCTATATCATATGCTGCAGCGGTCTGTGTGTTGAGTGATGGCGTGTCTAATCAGTATCTCATCTCTGCTGCATACTTCCCTGAAGAGAGAGAAAGGGAGAGGGGGGAAATGGTATATAGACTAATTATAGTGAGCATATAGCATGAACTTGAACCTTTACTTACAACAATACATGCAGTAAGATGGCTTAATTATTCGACTATAGCAGAGTGGAAATGATTGTAGGTAAAGTCTTCATACTTTTAGGGGAAAAGTTTGGAAAGGGACAGACCAACCAAGTACTGTAGCTGGAGTATATAGGCAGTGCAAATAATCAGGAGTGATTGTGGACCGGAAATGCCTTGGGTACCATCATTTAGGGCACTTTGGGGGAAATCATTTATAGAATGTCTGACTGTACATAATGTACCTGAAGTGAATTTCCTCTTGAGGAGTGATACCCTATAGTCTGAGCCGGTCACGTCCAGGTCCACTCCGGACAGCGTGCACCCGTCACACACAAACCTAGCCTCCGCCGGCTGAGGCAGAGAGGGTCCGCTGGTCACATCAAACTTGGCATGGATGGAGGTCACACCTGGAGTGGCAAGTAAAAAGATGACAACTCCAAACACCACACACAGGCAGCTACAAATAGAGATCGGAGTGACACACGAACTGCAGAGCTATTGTGTTCTTTCCAACAGCCACGCAAACATTTTTTCAAACACCAGAAAAAATTTAGAAACTTGCATTTCTAGACTGAACTGAAACTCTGACATAATTATGATTGTATAAGTTTATTAATAACCTTCTCAACATAAACAGCATTCTCGGGAAATTGTAAGACTCACTGTCGCTAGATCCAGAAGGGACCTCTCCGATCTTCCAAGTGATCTGCTGTTTGTCGGCCACCCAGTTCCCGCTGGGCCTCGAGAGAGTGTTCCTCACTCCTCCATTGACCGGGACACACACCGTCATCTGCGTCAGAGATGGGCAGGGCCTCGACGAGGGAGGGAGGTTGGACCCGATGTACGAGTAGTCGAATCGAAAGTTTGTGACGAGTTCGGTGCATTTCCAGTAGGCAGCTAGTCTCACAGGGAGCAGACTGCCATCCGTAATATCAACCTGTGGATTTTGTATAATTATTATACCAAATTCACACGACTCAGAGTTTTGGGGCAAAGCGAATTGGTACAGAACGATTGTTGTAAAGATACGAGATGGCTCCTGGCTTACAAAACCTTATAAGAAAGCTCTCACAGACCTCTCTTTAACTTTGGATTAATCACTTTTGCAAGCTGTATAGTAATATTCACACACCTCGTATTTTACGAGCTGCATGTTGTAGAATGGAGCGGTTTTCTTCCCGGCCATGGTGGTCAGGTGGGAGCTAAGAGCCTTTGTGTTGAAACTGTAGCTGAAGGAATCTCCTTCCCTGTGGTGGCGGGAGGGAAAGCAAACAGACACCTTTTCTTTCACCTCATCTGTACACACAGACACTGAAAATAGTACCGTATTATACCAGCTACACCATCTCCCACTTTTAGTACTTTTAGTTTTAGTCTTTTTCTGGCATTCTTTTCTAAGAACGTTGTCCACCTCCGCCAACACACGCACGCACGCACACACACACACACACACACGCAATACCTGGTCAGCAGTATCTGGTTGTGCAGGACTTGCTTCAACTTGTCAGCGTCTCTCAGTCTGAACGAGAGTGGGGACTGTTTCTCCACTTGCCCTACTACGGACGCCGGGAAAGAAACCACCATCTCCCCAGTCACCTTCACAAGACAGTCGCTGGGGTTCGTACTCTTGAATATCGCATTACAAGTCTCCTGGAATGCTATGGCTAGCGGTACACCTGTCGGTGGATTTTTCGCCCCTGTTGTTGTGTTGGTGGGTGTGGTCGAAGGGGTGGAGCTTACGAGTGAGTGTCCCGGAGAAGTGGGTGTGGTTGCAGCAGCACCGAAATGGGTGTGGCTTTGGACTAGTGGGGATAAGGCTGTGTTTGCCTCGGGGGTTGTACCTCGTTGACGAGTGTTCTTCCGAGGGTTCAGTGGGAGAGGGGGGCTGAAAATTGTCCCGCCCCCCACTGATGGGGGTCCTAATTGGGCGTCTGAAGAAAAAGAGGTGCCACTAGAGTCCGATCTAGCAGATGGCGAATCTCTAACTGAGACAGTCGGGATTCTGGTGGGAATGATTGACTCGTCGTCTGAGGAGCTTCCCCACCCACTGGCGGGGACCTCGATGTGAACGTCTCCCTCCCCTGCCAGCTCGCTCGCCGAGTTCTTAGTGGGCGGAGACTCGGACGAGCTAGCCACGCCCAATTGCTCGTCTTTGTTGAGGGCGACGCGACGAGGCTTTGGGACTGGTTTCTCCGGGTCATTGAGTGAGGAGGTGGGGGGAGAGAGGGGGAAGGGGAGGAGGGGAGGGGTTGGTTCTTGTATCCACGCCAACGGTCGCAGAGGCTCTATGGCAGTGGATCGGAGTTCAAGAACATAATTGGCACATAACAAGCCTAGCAGTAATAAGTAACAATGATATGGACACTTTCTTCACTCCCACTGGTGTCCTGATTAGAGGAGGCCCACTGTATTATATCTATGTCAGTGTTACCCATGGGGTCAGAGGAAAAGCCAGCTGGAGGGAGGGGCTGGAGGACTGTTCCCATGCCTGCTCCGGGAGACAGGGAGATGTCACTGTCTAATAGCGATGACATCACTGGACTGAGGAGAGAGAGAGAGAGAGGGTGTGTGTGTTGACTGACAATGTGGGGTACACTTGTATCTGTTACAGGGGTGCACTTGTGAAACAGGGAGTTACAGGTACACATTAAGTCTAATAGAGTGCTCTACTGAAATTTAGTGCATAGCTAATTCGAATTGACCAATCAGATTTGTTAGTACGAGGTTCCTGATTTCTCATATGAACCTCGTGAGCTACACAAAGTAACATGAAAACATGATATGAAACCTTGTTTTTTCTGTTGATTTTCAACAAGTTTCAACAGCATTTCATGTAAGAATGTATCCCCGTAAACATGATCTGTACAAAATGTTGATCAAATACTGATATGTGATTTTCTTTTTATGATAAACAAACTCCAGACGTAGAGGCACATGCACCGTGCATTTCACCATCCCATTGCTTCTCTTGGCTAGGTAAGCACGTATACAGTGCACATGGAGATAAATAAAACAGATGGTGTGAATGGAGATGAACAGTTTCACTTGGAGAAGTTTATAACTACGGAGCTGCATGAATGAAAGTTGAATACACCCGGCATACTGGCCATATTGTACTGCGCGTTCGCGCACTGTATTGAGGTGGGCGCGGCAGGCACGCCTCTTCTTGATGTTCGTACACGTGGCTGATTACACTAAATAGGTCGTCTAGGTCGACATCTAGGTAGCCTCGCTGGAGTCTCCGCAAAATTCTACTGCGTCCGGGTGCAGCAAGTCGCTCAGTTCCATCTCTTTTCCGAACTGTTTGTGCGTCTGTTTTTCGCGAGTCGTTTGAAATCTGCCATGGAAACGTAGCTTTCGCGCGCTCATGCTCTGCACTAAACAGGTTTAGACGCTGGAACGCTCTGGACCTACGTAAATTCAGAAACCCTCGGGCAATGTAGTGCCCTCGCTGCGCTCGGGACACCACAGCTCCGCCCTCGGGTTTCTGAATTTACGTAGGTCCCTCGCTTCCAGCGTCTAACCTATATAGAGGACATAAAGTGTAAAATAGGGGAGTGCATAGGAAAACTGGTTGCAAATATAGTGCTACACACTACAATAGAGTGCTGGAGAGAGACTCACTCTAGGGAGCTGTTGGCACCGGTGTCTTGAGATTTCCTCTCCAGAGGAGGAGTGTGCAGTACATCTGTGGACACACACACACACATGTTTATCACTTAACCAGCCACGGACACATACATAAATGTGTCCAGAGCCTTCATAAGTCCACAAGAATTTATATGTACTAAGCGCTAATACATTAATTTATGCTTATTTAAGCAGATACCCAGAGGGATATAATTCATGCAGTGGGGAGCACTGTTGTGTAATGGTACAAACTCATGTTGGTCGACGAGACAAGCAGGAACGCCCACACCACATGCCTTAATAGCATTGGTCTTACATGTAGTATATACGGAGACAGAGGCTCTATGGGGAATTGTGAGCCATTCCAATACCACTCTGCAAATGCCTAGGGTGTGGTATCTAGATAGGTACATACACACACATTGGACAAACAATCAACAAATCTAATTCAGTCTTTAAAGTTGCTACCAAGTAGTAATGCACTCTGCCGTCACCCAATACAGGCTATGTACGATGTATGCAACTGTGTTCTGACCATTTGCTCATTATCTATAAAGCACCCTAACAACAGGGGTCTCCCAGCAGTGTATGGAGGCCTCACTTACTGTTAAGGCTCTGCGAGCTGGTGGCCTTCCTGATCCTATTACTGGGACTGTTGCTCCCACCACCCTCCTCCTCCTCCTCCCAGCCTCAGAGTCTGGACCGAGGCTCTGATGTCGTCCACTGTGGCCTTCGGGAGGTCCTGCGGGGGGTCCTTTATCTGAACCTGCCGAACCCTACTCTGGAAATCTGGGAAAGAGAGAGAGAGAGAGGAGATACTCGTACAAAAAGGAACAAAAGGCTTTACCAAACTCAACATTTATCAATGAATCAATGTTTGGTCTCACTCTCCCATTTTTCTCACCGTCTTCAAAGTCACTGTCGTCGCTGTCCTGCTGTGGATTGTCGTCAGGGAAACCACGAATGGCAGCCGCATCCTGTGGCCGGATACTGTACCCCTCCTCGTCCACCTCCCCCACTGGAATTGCCTATGACATCATCATTACATCACTCAAGCCACACCCACTAATCATTAGTACAGGGGCCAACCTCCTGAGGATCACTGATGGTGTGATTGGAGGTGTTCTGGTCCCCAGATGAAGATTCCACTTCTGGTTTCACTTTTCTCTTGAACCGTATCCTCTGGCGAATGGACTTCTCCGGCTTCACTAGAGGTATATACACAGGGAGAGAGGGGTTAACGTCATGTTGTCAACATGGGGTTAAATTCATGTGGCTTGGGCTCAAATCCATAAGATGCTACAGTAAACCTTTGCAAAAACCTTGTATATAATATACCAGCTCTCTGCTGCTGGGAGTCAATGGAAGGAGTCCTGTGCCTCTGCTCATCAAGCGAGGAACCAACCAACGATGCCAGAGCTCTCTCAGTCACTGGCCTGAACTTCTCCGGAGCTGTGGGGCAAATGAGAAAGAGTTATAGGAGAGAGAGAGTGAGAGAGGGAGATAAGAGGGAGAACTATGTCTCTTACTTGGTTTATCTCTGCCTGTTCCTCTGGTCTCCACAAAGCCACAGAGCATCTTCTCGACGGAGTTGGACTCCATTTGTGCGTGGAGTCTCTGGTGTGCCTTGCCTATCAGTATGTGTACATTCTCCTGAGCCTGAGGAAGGGTAGGAGGGGGGAGGGAGAGCTGATCAGATCAGATCAGAGAAAAGGTTCTCTGACACAAAGCCACAAAGAGAATGGTAAAGGTGGATGTGCAGCTGCAAAAGTGAGAGGACTTGCACACTCACAATAAGAGGGGGTGAAAGAGGGGGAAAGGTGGAGCCAGACAAGACCCACCTCACTCACAATAAGAGGGGGTGAAATAGGGGGAAAAGGTGGAGCCAGACAAGACCCACCTCACTCACAATAAGAGGGGGTGAAAGAGGGGGAAAAGGTGGAGCCAGACAAGACCCACCTCACTCACAATAAGAGGGGGTGAAAGAGGGGGAAAAGGTGGAGTCAGACAAGACCCACCTCACTCACAATAAGAGGGGGTGAAATAGGGGAAAGGTGGAGCCAGACAAGACCCACCTCACTCATCTTCATGACAAAGGTGATCATCTGAGCCAGATGCTCCTCCTCCAGTGACCCAAACTTCTGAGAGGCCTCCAGCATGTTGGCCTGGAAACCCATGAACTGACGGGTGTGTGCCTCTACAGCCATCTTGTAGTCCACCTCTGACAGTGAGTGAGAGAGAGAGAGAGAGAATGTGTAGATGAACGGAGGAAAAGGAAGTGAGACGGAGAGATAAAGTGCGAGGGAGTGCGAAGAGAGAGAGATGGAAGAGAGAGTTCAGTCCTCACTCATGGTTTCCATCCAGTTCTCGGCCTGTTTCAGTCTCCCCTCCACCTGCGGACCACGTGGTGTTACAAACAGCAGTATACACAACACAACACACACAATCAAACAGTCCACACTTCCTCAAACACACACATTATAACATCTACACATATCCCCCACTGAATAGAAAACACAAAACTCTTATAACAACATGCCACCTGACATTCAAAGTAACGCTAACCCCTCATGCATTACAACCCACAGTTTTGGGAAAGGATTTTTATTATTCACCTGAGCCTTGTTTTTTAGGTTTGCGTCCCCCTTTGCCTTTTCCATCTTCTTTTGCTGTTTCACGTACTGTTCCACGCTCTGAGTGTACAACTTTTTAGCTCTTTGAAGAGCAGCGTCCTGCGTTTCTAGCAGTCTCAGACTGTCTCCGGCATCGTCTATTTCTCCTTTCAACTGGTGTGTGTGTGTGTGCGTGGTGCGTGTGTGTGTGTGACAGAGAGAAAGAGGGGAAATGGATTTGGATGAGAAACGGTAAATGAGAGGAGGAGACATGTACTAATCATGCGACGGGGGAGTCTTCACATTCCATCTCACTATCTAGCACAACAATTCACCAAATCACTCGGGACACGGGGCATAATCAACAGAACTCGAACATACGTACCGACAACACCAGGAGAGGGAAACTGCATTATGTATAAGTGAGCTCACGTTAGCTTTCATCTTGTCTTTCTGGACTATGTGATACTCTGACACTTCTCTGGAGAGGTCATGGAGGAGCTGAATGAACTGGAGATGAGCTGCAGTTAGATTCTCACACATTGCATGCACTGCTTGCCACAGAGGAGTTAGGGACCTGGGAGGGAGGGAGGGAGGGAGGGAAGGGAAGAGAAGAGGAAAGGGTGGGAAGGATGTAGACTGAAAGAGTATACTCCAGGACAGTCCTCACCCCAAGGAGGTGCTAGGAACAGCTGCAACATTCTTGGAGAGTTTTGCCAGACCCCTGACATAACCATCTTCAACAGTTACCCTGCACACACAGCATACATACCAGATAGATCAACGTAATACTCAATGGAGCAAAAACAGAGCATGCACATCACCTCTCCTTGAGAAATTCATTCAGCTCTCTACTGGCACTGACTCCAGCCTTGAAGTTGTGATACAGCACGTCGTACCCTTATTTCCTGGACCCTACATCATCACCGCACACACACAGACACAGGTCACACAGACACACTCTAACAATAAACTTCCTTTCTATTGCTGCTCTTTAGTCTCTTATCTATACTCTTTGAGCTGAATTCAAATATTTGGTACACTACAATATGAAAAGGGTCTGGTGACTATTGAGTGCTTATTTTATTATGCCGACTAATAATTTGTGTCTAAGGCGTTCACTAAGACACCCAGTTTTGTTCGTTCATAGATTTGCGCAGTTCTTGAAGCTGTGTTGCAAACAGTTGAATATGTAGCAGACCACTGACCCAGAAATGCTGTTCAAACTTCGGGGCCTGAACAGTGTGCTGCCATCTGTGTGCCGTGCTGTTCTGTGGATCTCTATCGTTGTCACCTGATACGGACCTGGATGGACAAAGAGACGACAACAGCTAACTCTGACAGTCAAAACAGGGACCGTTTGCTAAAGCATTGTTTAGCAAATTACCTGCTGTATATACAAAGTACACGATGGACAGACATTATGAAGGCTCTAGCTAATACGCATTGACTTTAGAATTTGACTGCACTGTCACTGGAGGAAAACAAGGCAATCTACCGTCTTTCCCGCAACCACTCTCTATGCACTACATACTTTCTCTAGCTAGATGTGCAAAATGCGGTTCAGTGTTCGCAACATTGAACTGGTAACAACTTATACCTGCTATACAGAGCAGCTTCTCTCTCTAGTCAGGCTCCTACGACTCCGCCAGCTCTATGGAGACACCCAAAAGCGAGCCAAAAACTCTCTCGAAAGAGAGGGGGACGACCGGACACACTTGCACTTTTGCTGGCAGTCACAGCGTGACGTCATGGAATACGGGGTTAAAGGTCACGTGTACGTAGGCGGGGCAAGTTATGCGCATGCGTGTATAAGTTATACCATGATGAGCCTGCTGGACTGCATCTGCTGTCCGGAACATGTTTATCGGACAGCTGTAGTTTCGGACGACCTGAAAATTTCCTCTGCAGAGACGTATGGGTTCATGATGGAAAGAGCTTCCATTTTGGCATGCTACCTGCGCAAAATATTCGATGAAATTTCCGGACAACGTGATGAGAAGGCTGCACAACCGGACAGGGTTGTTGCAATTTTGTCCGAAAGTTGCTCCGAAGCATTGTCAGCCATCGTGGGGATCCTAGCTGTCCCAGCATCCTTTATGCCTCTCAGCTGTGGTAAAGGTAAGACCCTCTCTCCTAGCTAGAGCTCCACGCGAGGTGAGGCGTCCTACTCAGTAACTGTAATGAACTGTAGGTGATGTTACAAGAGAGACGGAAGAGAGGCTGAGGCAACGTGGGGCCCAAATGGCTCTAGTTCACCACTCTTGTGCTCAGGTGGGAATATTTCATTAGGTCGCCATTATATTATGATACCGAGCCTCTCTCTCTCTCCTCAAGGATTTCTTCTCAGCCGAATGGTCAGATGGTTGTGTGACGGTCGGTACCACAACACTTCAGTTGGGATTCATCTGTGTCATATATAGCAATCGCCCTCTTCCGTCCACCTCTGTACACCCCTTCCCTTCCCTCTCCCCCGTACCCACTCGCCTCTCCCCACCCACAGAGATGCGGGGTGAGTGTAGTACCCCACCCCTCCCTCCCTGTGTCTCCTTCCCCCGTGACTCAATGACCTCCTACCACTCTGACACCCACCACCAGCTGGCACGGTGCATCGTGTGCAGCAAACCCCTCCCTCCCTGTGTCTCCTTCCCCCGTGACTCAATGACCTCCTACCACTCTGACACCCACCACCAGCTGGCACGGTGCATCGTGTGCAGCAGACACTCGGCTAAATATACCAGCAACGACAACAATAGCCAGTTGGAAGATGAAGATGGTGGAACATCAGAAACACACAGAAAATGGAGTTTCCCATCCCTCTCACCCACGGCTGTTGCCTATATTGTGCATACATCTGGGACTACAGGCCCCCCTAAGCCAGTCTCTGTTCCCCACTGCTCTATAGTACCCAACATCCTCGACCTGACTCGGCGTTTCTCCGTCTCTCCCAACGACACTGTATTTAATGCTGCCCCTCTCACCTTTGACCCCTCAATAGTTGAGGTGTATATACAAACGCTTAATAACTTCCCCTTTTCCCTATATTGCTCCAAACTTTCACCCTTTCCTCTATCTCGTTCCAAATATTCGTGATTACCTCTATGTCAATTCTTTCAGGGGTTTTCTCTGAAAATTCATAATGTCTAATGGTCTCTGTATTTGTTAGCCTCTTCTCCTAGTTGTTCTACTACGTGTATCTCCTGTTCTAGATCTTTCTGGCTCTCTACAATGGAGCCACTCTCCTGACAGTCAGCAGTCGAGTAAAGAGATCTCCGCATGGACTGGCCGATGCTCTTCTCCGTCGGAACCCGGCCACCGTGCTACAAATTACTCCCTCCCTGTTTCGTCGTCTGCCAGAGAGAGAGGTGGGAGACAGACTCCTGGGGGATCGGTCATCTGTCAGGACCCTGGCTCTCGGCGGAGAACAGTTCCCATCTCTCAAACTGCTCTCCAGCCTCAAGTCACCCTCTGTGAGCCGCGGTTTTTTTATTTACTCTCAGTTCCCAGCATTTGTAAAGTCTGTATGTGTGTGCAATCCCTCACGCCGGATTTGTATTTCCCACTTGTAATCTATAGTGAACCTGTTTTCCCTGAAATCTGAAAAACATCAATACAATTTTTCCGTTAAGTTTGTTGTTTGCTGTCTGTTGTGTTGCAGAATTCGACACTCATCTTCAATATATACGGAACAACTGAGGTATCGTCGTGGTCCACTTGCCATCGTGTGACTGAGACACGCCTCCAGCGAGCCAGGGAAGAGGAAGAAGAGGGAGGAGAGGAGAAGAGAGAAAACAAGAACAGAGTGCCACTCGGGGACGCAATGCTGGGTACTAAACTCGAAGTGAGAGATTCTCAAGGAAAAACTGTGGTCAAAGGATACGGAGAGATATTTTTAGGTAAAACTTTCCTCGTTTTTGGAAGTTATTAAAGTGAAAAAATTCTAGGTGGAGAGTACAGAGTGTGTCTCCTAGGTGACGAGACAAGCCCCGCCCACTCGGTATTGAGGCCGACGGGGGACAGAGGATGGGTGAGTGGAGAGGGAGACGTCTTCTTCCTGGGTCGGCTTGACAGGCAGATGAAACGGTGGGGACATCGTGTCTCACTGGAACATGTAGAACAGGTACACGTTGAACATAATAAGAGATGATGCTGTTGTGTTAGAGAGGAAAAAGAGAGATAAATGGTATGTATGTAGATAGGGTTAGTCAAAAATTAAGAAATTTTTCTCTCTATGGTTCCAGTGTATTGCGTCGCAGGACTCTGTCAGAGATTGTGCTGCAGCTACTGTCAGTGACGCACAGACCCTCTGTAAACTGTTCCCCGTGGCCCGGCAGGTCAACCAACTCAGACTGGCCGTGTTTGCCGTCCCCCACACTCTACCTTCCACTGGTCTACAGTCTTCACAGTGGGCAGAGAGACTGATGACGTGTCTGGCTCAACGTCTGCCTGGTCACGTGGTACCTGACATCATAGTCCCAGTTCACCATCTTCCCTTTAACAAACATGGTATATAAACTGAGCCGCACACAGAAAATACTTGCCTTTCAGCTATGCAGGCAGGGTAGGATCAAATACTCCCATTTTGAAGTGCAGTGCATTAATTTCGAACCTTTTGCAAACTGGCTTCCTTAACTGATTTTTAGCATCATAAACCACAAAATGTATATAAATAGTGACCATAATGTTTTATTTTCTGTACCGAGAGAAATTGTGTAGTGTTTTGTTAGAAGTGACTTATTTCGCTGCAGGGAAGGTTGATATACAGCGTCTCCTGCGACTTGAGGACGACTCTTCCCTCTACCTCACTCCACTGTCTGCTCAACACCATCACCACCAGCCACACAGCTCTGCTCCATTCAACGACGTACAGGCAGTTCAAGATGCCCTACTGTCACTGGTGAACTCTCTCACGCGTATCTCACACTGGCCGCAGGACTCCACTCTTTTCGACGTCGGTGCAACTTCTTTCGACGTCGTTAGAATAGCAGACACCTGGGAAGGAAAATTTGGAAAAATCTCAACTCTGTCTTCACTGACTGAACTCTTATTGTCCAAGACATTCAGAGAAGTAGCCGACTTATTGTGGAAGGCATTCACTGACTCGACTGGCTTTGAACTATGGGAGAGAGAGATCGATCAGGAGCCACTGCAGAAGAGAGCAAGGAAGGAAAGCTTGGAGAATTTCTCACGGATAGAGGCAGCCGCGCCTTCTTGCATTGGCACTACTATCAAGGCTTGGAGAAGGGGAAAGGTGTACATCGATGGAGAGTGAGCATTTTGTTGTACCAACCCAAATGTCTCTCACAGGTTGAAAAAAACAATTTGTCAGTTAGCTGCAAATTTTCAGTGTAAACATATTTGCAGTTTGAGAAAATTTTGTGCCGTATTTTATTTCCCATGATATACTTGTTGCAGGCCAGCTTTTACCAGTGTTTGTAGAGGACGTGGAGATACAGAGGAGGTGTCTGAGGTGGCAATGACGATCAAATGGATGTACGACACAGGACGGTGTGTGGACGCCTCCCCTCTCGTAGCTATGGGAGACCAGGCCCCGCCTACTGTTTACATTGGGTCTCATTCTGGTATGTTTGTGGCTCTCTGCGTGCTCTCGGGGAGATGCCTGTGGGAAGTGCAACTCAGTGACCGGATCGAGTCATCAGCTTGCCTCTTACTACTGAACGGCACGCACGTCGTTGTAGGTACGTTACGTAATAACCTACGTATATACGTAGTAAGGTATTTGTACGTAATTTTCAGGATTTCCCCGCAAGGTCTCCCATGTGGTCTAGTGGTTAGGATTCCTGGCTTTCACCCAGGCGGCCCGGGTTCGATTCCCGGCATGGGAACTTTCTTTTCTTACTTTGCCCAAGCATTTGACTACCTTTTTCTTACTATCTTGTTCAAAAACCCTGTTCCTGGCATGGGAATTATTTTCTTTTGTTGCCTAAAACCGTGAGTATACTTTTTCACATGCTCAAATGTACTGTACTGTAGGGTGTTACGATGGGTACATCTACTGCTTGAGGGCAGAGAGTGGAGAAGTGAAGTGGAGTCTTCAGCTGAGCCGTGAGCCTGTCAAGAGCTCTCCATGTGTCGATACGACCACTGGACTAGTATGGGTGTGTTCGCACGACCAACACCTCTACGCCATTCACGGGGAGGTTTGTAAAAACACCCGTTTACTTAACACACTTTCGTTTCAGTTTCCCTCTGTGTGTGCAGAGAGGGAGAATGGTGCATAGAGTGTTCCTTGGTGGAGGTTCGTGTTTTTCCTCCCCGTGTCTTGACCTTCACAGAGGACTGGTATATGCTGCAACACTACGGGGCAATGTAGTAGCTGTCAACAAGGTATATATACACTTACTAAAAAGTAACGAATGTGCTATAGTTGCTTTGGTGAACACTTCAGTTTTAATGTGTTACGCATGTTGGTTAACAGCAAAATTTCCTGACAAAACAAATAGCATAAAAGCGTCGATCTTTGTGAAAATGTGCTAAATAGTCAAGGATCACTAAGTGTAGAGAAAGAGAAGGCAAGGGTTAATCTCATTACCAGGGAGACAGGTGTAACGCGTTCATCTCGTGTGTGTCTCAATCTCTTCGTAGCCAGACCTTCACACACTGCTCCTGAATGGGACCGCTCTCTATAGGAGTCGGCAACCATTCACACTGTACAGTATTATACCTCTGCTCTAAATTCTTCGTCCATTTACACAACAAATTGACGCACAAGCGGGCAACTATACCAGAGGACGACCCCCCACAGATATCGAAATTATAATTCACACCAAAGAATCCAATACAGCTCGTTAATTAATTAGTAACCCGAGGTATGCGAGTCATGTCAAATTTGGAATGGGGATTTTTAGTCAATGCACACAGGTCGGTAGGATTAGCGACGCCGTTGATTGTTTTATTTGGCGTGATTGTTTGTAACCTGAGTGGCCTGGAATTCCAGGAATTGCTGATTGACGCGTGACACGCGTGCCCACGAAATGCCGGTGACCCTCTTCCTCGAAAATCAATATCGACGATTGGATTTCTGTGCTTGGGGGCGTCGGAAAACCACATTCAGAGGGCGTTCGGCAATTCCACCTCAAGCTACTATATATGGCTTGTGTCGGAAAACTTTTTCAAACACACACGACCACACACTCCGGCTAGCCTCACTCGTCTCTCTGGTAGGATGCTCTTAAGTGCCCGGCCATTCATTGCCTGCTGTGCCTGAATGAAGAAAACTGTAACAGCTGTTTACCGAGCGCTCCGTGCTGGGCCCTTTGTTTCTATAAGAACACGTCATTATGTCTGTCAAAAGCTGGACATACGTCTCTAACTCTCAGTCTCCTAGCAGTGGTGGTTCCCCTGGTCCTCCTGCTCGCAAATGCCTGTCCTTATGAATGGCTCTTACGAGAGTCTGTTGCACACTTAGCTACACTATTACGATAGGGTTCCCCTCATTACTATGGGATACTAACCGAAACTTGTGAAAGTATACATCGCTAAACGAAACCAAATATATCACTTGTTTTGCAAGTAATTCCACGTCGAGTGTGTAAAGTTGCCATATATGGCATGCAAGTGTATGGCACTGAACATCTCCGCTTTTTTTCTTAACTTTTTGCCTTCTTCTTTTCCTCTAGGGAAATGGCAGTGTTCTGTGGAGCTACGAAGGCGGAGGGAAGCCATTTTTCTCCAGTCCGTGTCTTCTCCCCTGTGGAGAACTAGCCATAGGAAGTGTGGACGGGAGTCTCCATGTTGTCAATAGCTCAGGGACAATGGTGTGTTCTGCTGATCTCAGCCCGACTGGTCTCGCTGCCAAATTCACTTAGAACCTCTCCATGAGTTGACCACTGTCTGTCTCTTTTCCGCAGGCGAGAGTGCTAAGGACGGGGGACTCTGTTTTTTCCTCGCCCACTGTGGCAGTGTTGAGCAATGATGTGAAGGTAGCACTGAGCGTGGAGGAACACCAGGCGAAGATTGAGGATATGGGGGAGGAGGTAGGGAAGGAGAGTGGTGGGTGTGGGGCAAAGGAGTTCAGTTCGTTTGTTCTGCGGGTCGCATGACAAGTGTATCTACTGTTGGAATGGCGACGGGGAGGGTGGACTTGTGTGGAAAACATGTTTGGACTCTGAAGTGTATGCCTCACCTGCTCCCTGCAATATCCTGCACACTGCTTCAGACTCATCTGCTGGGAGCACTTTCCAAACTCGAGAAACTTCCGCCTCTTCTCCATCTCCCGTTCGCACTGATAACAGCACGTCTCCCATTTGCACTGATATTACTACTGCTGTCACTCCCTGCGTGTGTGTGTCTACGTCTTCTGGTGTTGTATATCTATTGGACGTTCAAACGGGGAAGATTCTCGGTTCTCTGAGTCTACCCGGCCAGGTTTTCTCCTCTGCAGCTGTGGTGAACAATCATATTCTAGTCGGCTGCAGAGACAATCATATCTACTGCATAAAATGCTCGGTGCTGTAGTCTACATTAAATTTTGCAACGGGAAAATCATTTCCTATGACTCATACTACGTGAATTGTGTGGTATTGGCAAGAGGCAAGTGGCCATGGTAACAGAAGAAGGGTAAAGCGGAATTCAAGCCTGGTTTCCATGCTGCACTTATTTTGTGCAATTAGTGCAACAGCTGCTCATCAGTATAGCTTCTCTGTCTTGGCCTGCGGTATATCGTCCAATGCGCAACCTGTTGCGTAACGTTACGCGACAGAGTCGTAGCCTCAATACGGAAGTGCCAGTCGTAACGCTATTGCGATTGCGCAGCATTGTAACAACGCGCATTGTGCATGCAGCTTGACTGCGGAAAGCGCAAGCTGTTTCCCCAGCCAAACGAGACCCGCCTTTTATGGCTTGGGAGCCCTGATATAAGTTGAAGGACCTCGCCGTGGCCGGAGACCTGCATGCAGCAACCGGGGGGCCGAGCTGAGCCGAAATTGCAAGTTTGAGAGAGCAGACAACGAGCGCGCAACCATAGCAAGATGCTGGCTGCTGGAAAATCTGCAGGGAAACTCTTACCTATGTTGGTCTTGGTTCTAGCTCTGCTTGGGTCTACAGCAGACGGTGAGCTCCCAGCACACCCGCCAGATTTTACCCTGCACTGCGGGATCTGCGGCTCTAGCAACGCTGCATGAAAATACTACCTGAGCATAGCTAGAGCCCTAGCGTGGCTTCTTGCAGTGTAGCCTGGAAAAGTGAGCCCTCCCCTCTTTTTGTTTTGGACTTTAGCTGCAATTTGTAGTCTGTTACTGCTGCATGGAAGCACACTCGTAGCTATACACACACAGTTAGCTAATCCTGGTTCCTCTCTCTCTTCTCTCTCTCTGTTACTAAACCACAGCTCAAGACGGTGGCTCTGGGTCGAAGGAAAACGAGGCTAGTCACCCAAACAGCGAAGGAGACACTCTGACTGACGATGAAGATTTCAGTTAGCCTATTACTAATGCACTATAGTGTTGGACCCATTGTGCCCTGTGGCCCATCTATTCAGGGACTTGAATAAGGCCAAGTATTACCCTCTTAGCCCATCCGTTACTCAGGAGCCCATACTATAGTATAGAGCCCTCCTAGCAGTGGTATATACCTATAGGGCTATCCTAACCCTAAGGGGAAAATGTACACAAAGCGTCTTGTTGCATGCAACGAAGGTACACAATTAATATTTGCCGTAAGAAGTGTCAAAGTGTTTGTATACAGCGTGTATTATGTATAGTTTGTTTGTTGATTGTGTTTCGGTTGAGTAACAGTACTGTGTGCTCACATGCTTCCTTCGCAAGCACTCGGTGCCACAACAGAGTTGGGGGCTCTATGGGTGAACTGAATGACCTTGTATGTCTTCCTAAGTGCGTGACAAAGACACACGCCATACGGGACTGAATACCACACCAAACCCAGAGTCACTAGCAGTGCAGTCTTTGAATTGGCGGGCCGAAACGCATTAGCGTAGAGTTGTACTACTTGTGGTTCTGCAATCATGGGATGAAACTGTTCCTAGAGTTACACACGACCTCCAAGTGAGCTTATCAACTTGAAAGAACCGGCGTTTTGAACCCATCTGAATTTAATCGCCCCCCTTGTTGCACGATGGCTCGTAATTGCCGAAACACCTGCTCCCCAAATGTTACACAATACTTTTGCTAAATCGACTAATTATTCTGCGCTATAGACCTGTCTATTCTAAGTTTGAAACTCGTTAATGTTGCGAGTTGCAGTCCGTTGCTAGGCATGACCCTTGCTTGTACGTATAAAAGGTTATTGAAGCTGTTAGTGATTGAAACTAGGGCAACGAGCTACGAGGTCAAAATACTCATTGATATGTGTAAATTCAATAAGACTTGGCAGTCGCTCGCCACCGCCGTAAAAGGGTCCATTAGGTGAAGTGGTTTATCGCCACACTGAAAGAGATGAATGTGGAGCATCATAAGCTACCACAGGCAACGAACAGGGACTTACTCTCTGTGTTGTCTCGCTGCATAAGGAGTCGACAAGTGGAGCCAATTTGGCTGCGGCAATGAGCTATCCACCAACCACATACTGTCACCTATACCCACACGCAGTTTTAAGCTGGTTTATCAACGTGTATATGACTGTATTGCATTTGCATGTGTGTGGCTGGGAATGCAGATTTTATCAATGGAGTGACTATAAATGATGTCTAGCCAGTGTTTTGATTGAGGTGATCACCCCCCTGCCCTCCACTTTGTTAATAAATTCAGCCTCTAATACAACGCATGGAGCGGTGTCTCACTGTGCATCGCATACCTCCCGCGCCCTGTTGCGCAATGCACTTCGCAGGAGGGATTTCCAGTCTCATTGTCTCCCGTCCATGCCGTGCTTTGCAAACACTAAACCTTTGTCAGCACGTACACTTCTAGTAATGGCCTCTCTCACCTTTTTCTCGAACACGCACAAACCTTTCCATTTCAGTGCGACACGACATTAGGATTAGGGACAGGAGTTGTGTGGAGGGGTGCAGTCGGAAAGGGCACGGTCATGAAGTGACTACACACGCAACTCCTTTCAACTCTGTGTCAGGGTTTGTAGTAATCAAACTCCTGTTCAATTTCAGACGGTCGTCTGTCCCCAGCCCTCTTTCTGCCCACGACGAATTGGCCGAAGACGGACTCGATTTATCTTTCTGCAACCGAGTGTTGTGACAACATCGACCACTTGAAAGACAAACTTATAGGAACTTACTAATTGCTTGTTCACACATAAGCTCGACATCACCTGTGCTGAAAAGCCTGGAGTGTGACGCAAACTATAAGACTCTTTAGTGGCATGCAACATGCATGTAGGTAAAAGGAAATACACACGTGCACAGGAGCAAATCTGGTCAACTATAATGTAAAAGGCACCGCAGTGCACAACTGGTAGCTGGTCAGAACACTACGTGCTGAAGTGTCTACTTAGTTATTAGACACCTTGGCAATTCCACCATTCAATTGGTCCACCTGCAGCTATTTATTTCTATATCAAATTAGCAAATTATCCATCTAGGACACCAGCCTTGCGCCACACTTAACCTTCAAAAGAGGTCGCCGCCGTCTGCAATGAACGGCTCATAAAGTGGGGAATTTTGCTAAAGTGACAGTACAACACTCTCTTTTTCTGGCCTCTGCTTGCAGAGCAAAAGGTTGTTGAGGACTAATTTATCATTACAAATAGGCAACTCCTTCGGATAAATGGATAAAGAGGCTTTGCAGAGATCCCGCGTCCAAGTGAGTTTTGCTAACATTTTTGAAGCCAGCACTGCAGAGCGATATTGATTTCTCCACGGTCGTGACTGTTACGAGGCGTGTTTGTTTGTGTTGACGTTTACGGGTGTTGAGTGGCTGCAGGAGGGATGTGGTACAAAGCCTGTGTGCACAGAGAGGGGATTGTGCGATTGGCCAAGTTTCCTCTGCCACAGCTGCCCACCAGCCTAAACTAGTCATGCACGACTGCCGGAAATAAACAGACCGCTTTTTGAGCGCTGCTCTCCCTTTGTAGCACAATCACGTTTTCCCCCTCGGGTGAATGACACTGCTGCGTATAGCAAAACATCTCGCGGGTGCAAAGCGGAAGAAATCCAAAACACTGAAAAGAGTTGTGAAGGTGAGCAGATGGTGGAGTGGGTTGTGAAGGTGAGCAGATGGTGGAGTTGGCCGTGTAGCTTGAGGGCCAGAGTGCTGTGTGAATTGGTATATTTGTCTCGTCATTTGGTAGCCAGGGAACACAAAGAGGGCCATTTCCGTGAGCCTTAATCCCCATTAAGACAATCCTGTAATGTCACCTCTGTTGTGTATGTTGCATGGATTGGAGCGTCGGGCATATACAGTGACCCCCTCTCTTGTGTCCGTTTATTTTCTGCAGCCGGTAAGGTCCCTGTGACTTTCTTTGCCACCACAACTCTCAGCTGTGCAGTGTGGAAGGTAAGTTGAGAACGGACGCACACAGAGAGGAGAGAGAGAGGAGAGAGAGAGAGGAGGAGGGAGGGGGGAGGGAGGAGTAAAATAAAACTGTGAGTGAAAAGTGTGTTAGTGGGAGGAGGAAAACGCCTCAAGCTAAGAGCACCAAAACCGGTGACACAAAGAGTGCGGCAGTTTTTAAACCTACACCTCAGACTTGCAGACTCCAGCTCAAATTTGGTTTCATAAACGAATTATTATACTGGTGGTGGGTGACTCACTTGTTCATTCCCTCTTTGGCAGTCGCTAAATCCCTCAGAGATGAAAAACATGTACTGAAATTACCCGGCAAATCTGATAAGTTCCCGTCTTCTGGTCTGCTCTAGAGGCAGGCTAACTCAATAGCAGCTGCGAGCTTCAGTTTTCACGAAGGCAAGTGTCGGCATGTGCCTTTGGCATCCGGAGGGGATAATGTGATAAGCGTGGCCACGCATGTCCGGGAGTACATATCTGGCATCCAGTAGCTAGGCGGGGCTGCCTCGTGCCGCCTGGCCCTAGGATGGAGTGTCTGGCAGAGCACTGCTGGAAGAGGACAACATTTCATCTGTGAAACAATGCCTATATTTGCCTACTGTCTATCTCCCCAGGAAAACAGGAGCCAAGCATAGCTACATACTGTGGATAAGGCTTTATTATATACTACATGGCCTGGAAAAGGTGGTTTATTTGGTGAAATATCTGTACATGGAACAGTTTTAGCAAGGAACACTGCAGGGGTGTGTCTTGCATTCAGTGGTTCAGAATCTTACAAGAAAGTCCACGTTTGGCCATTGTGGACGAGGAAACGTTTGGAACAGCTCCATTGTGGACAAGGAAACAGCAGACTTTCTTTGTGACTCTTTCTTGGAAGCTAGACTACCGGGTATAGGTTGCTATATAAAAGCCCATCGCATGCACCTGTACCACTCAGCCACCATTAGCACGATGCGTGTGGAGTCAAAGCAAGACCTCTTTGGTCGGACAAGGTGCCAGGAGTTTAGTCTGTCGCCGCCATATCTGCTGCCCTGCGGGAGAAAAACAGTTGGAGAGAGGCCTGCAATGCCCCACTGTGCTGTTCTTTGGGAAATTCTTTGATAGAGACACAAGGCTATGGCTGTGGTTGATATCCTAGAATGGCACAGGTCTCCCCCTATGCATTGTAACCAAAGAGTAGTAGGTGTGTCCATGTTGGAGGGGGTTGTCTGCATGACCTCACGTTGGTTTTCCTGTGAGTGGTGACAGTAGGGGGCACAGGATGGGAAGACTTAGTATACAGACCAGAGACAGGGACTCTGGCTACAGAGAACCCTGCCTCCAGACCACATAGGTGATGATATAGCAGGGAAACGTCTGATTCCTGTCTGAATAGCTACCTTACAACTTCCAGCGAATGTGGTCTTCCTATCCACCATGGTAACAGTTACACATCCCATTACAGTGGAATAATCCTGCTGCCAGCATCTGTTGCATACAGAGTGTGGTAATGCATAAAGTGTGCCCAGGGCTTGTGTTGCTGTATAGTGAAAGAGGCAGTGTGACTCCTGTGATATCTCTCTCCTCTTCCTACAGGATGACGACAGGCAGAAGAGTTCACAGATCATCGTCAACAAGATGATTGTTTACGTGAGCGACATTTGCGACTGCGACTTTGACAGCACCTACGTCTCCGATAACACGTGGGATTGTGACACCCACGCGGGGACCCTGATTGTCAGCGCCAATCTCTCGCTACCGTTCAACCACCAGCGCTCGCAGCTGGTGGTCTACCTAGAGAACTGGGTCAAGACGGAGCCTCGTTTCACCAAGACGCTGGACCGAGGTGCCAGGGCCACAGTTAGAGTGGTTAACCTCGAGACCACTCACCCCCCCTACTTCCCCACCTCGGAGGGGTCAGGGGGAGACGACGGTAAGGAGGGAGGAGAGGTGAAGCCGGAAGAAGAAACGCCCAAAGTGGTTAACGAACAGGAGAGAGATTCGGACGGTGGGGAGGGAGGGAGTGGTTCCGGTGCAAACGGAAATGTCCTCGGCTCCTCCCTCCCCGTTGCCATGGATATTGGCACACTTTTCCTCTCATGTGTAACAGGGCTGGCGATTCGACTCTTGATGAATTATTCATGAGCTGGTCGGTCAAATCTTTTACCACATCTCCTGCAGGTCAAATGTATGGAACAGCCACCACTGTCAATATCAAAATACTGTGTTTTAATATCACTTCATGTTCCCCCATATCAAGTGCCGTCTTTTCTCTGAACTAAGCATCATCCAGCATCCCCTCTCTTCTCTCCTTATTGTAAAACTTTACATTGATTGAGGGCACGATATATACAGCTCTCTATTATTGTGGCTGATTATATCCAATATACTTGCATCAGTTACATGTAAGAATCATACTGAACTACGTGAATTATTATTGTCTGTGTATTTTTTCAATTTTTAATTGACCACTGAATAATTATTTTGTATAACCAAACATATTTCATCACACATGATAACTTAGCCACAAATGAAACTACAGTCATATTATGCATGTGGTGTTATCCTGGAGGGAAATTTCTTAGAGGAGCCAATCAGTCTATGCTATTCTGCACTGCATCCTGACTAGACTGAAACACTTTCCCGGGGCTAGCGCTTCCGGTAAGCGCGCTTTTCGCGCGGGGCATATGCGCGCATGCGCATAGGTTGCGTGGGCGGTAGCTCCGTGTACTATAAAAGCCGGCACATAGTCGTAGACTCATCAGTTTCAACTGTCGGAGTGTAGAGTTCTGCCCCTATACTATATAGCAGTTTCCCTTGTACCCAGTCAATGCGAGAAATGACGAGAATGCCGCTGAAAGCCAGTCTCTTCCTAGTGCTTTTCTGCATAAGTGGTTCAAGTAAGTCGACGTTAGCCATATACATACCGAGTTGCATGGCTAGTGTTTTGCATGCACTCTATACTTCACCTGTTTGCCCGTTATGATGTATACTGCCGTTGGTTTTTCACAGTTGGGAACAGTGATCTTCTGCTGCCTGGAAGATACTACAGAGGAACTGAGGATAGTTCAGGCAGTAGTGGTGAAGATATCACGGAGGGTTCAGCAGATGGCACAACTGTAGTATTGCTACCATTCCCTACATCCACCTCTCCTACTATGCCTCCTTCCAGCAGTGTAGAAGTTCAGTCATCTTCAACCACCACTCCTGTTGCTAGTACTCCCACTCCTACTCAACCCACGCGCACCCCACTTCCCCCTGCCACCACACAGCCCCCAACAAGCTCAGAACCAACTGTACCAACTGTAACTGAACCCTCAGACAAACCCTCTGATACGACAAAGCCGACCGTAGCAACGCGTCCAATGGAACCAACTGTGGAAACTGGTGGGAACCGAAACTCAGCAGCTGCGTCACAGTTCAGCTTCAGCCACAGTCTAGTTCTTCTGCTACTGACATCACTAGCTGCTCTATAGTCTATCACTGAATACATAGTGTAACTATCTGTCTCTTGTGTGTGTGTCAGTCTTTCATCTTTTGTTTATCCTTTCAAAGTTACAAACTTGTTGTGAAGTAATTCCTGCAGTAAAAAACTTAATCTCATAATAATGGCCAAAGGAAGCGATCTGACCGTTGCATTGTCAATCACTGCTGTAGGGAGTCCAGCTAGTCTGGCTACTTCGATCCCAAACGAGTGCTCCGCTCTTCCAGCCTGTGTCACATGACAATCACACGAGTAGGGACAAAAACAACGCTAATGGAATCTAGTTGTACTTTGTGATCTAAAGAAATCGCGTAAAATATATGCTGCAATGTTTTATGTACAGTCTTATCTTTCACCGGTTCATAGCATATACTCTCGCCTCACTCTCTCTCTCTCTCTCTTTTCTGACCTTGACTTTATACGTGAAGCGGAGGAGTCCGCCATTGTTGTCCAGCTCAGCCTCCAACTGGTAGCTCCCAACAGAAGGTCCCAGGAGTGCCTGTCTGTCCTGCCCCAGCGTATGGTAGTGAGTCGCCACCAGACATCTGCAACCTTCAAACAACATCAATGACTTTGTCATTTTCCCCACCGTTTTCACCAGCTCACAGCTTTGGCTCCGTTTTGACACATTGTGTACACCATTTTGGTATATCCACAGGACCCTTTCACATTGAAAAGGCAATTTCCCTTCTCATAATCAAATCAATTACTTTACTATTGTGATGGTTCCCAGAGGGGAAGTAGGAAGACCGGCCTGAGGCCATAAACCTCACTTCCCTGACCAGACTTCTACTACTTCTAAGAGCCTACTATCAGTATAATATACTAATGTACTGGTACATTATGGAGCTGTTCTAATCCATTCTCTAGGCACCCTATACCATTGAACACCAATCCTTCAGCCACCTGTGCTCTAGGCAAAGTATATCCTCTATAGTGTCTTAATGGCTCTGGCTTCTGGCATCTGTCCACTGAAGGATCTGCTAATGGAGCTCACCATTCATGTATTGTGCACATTACCAGCTGTGCCACTACACCAGTGGAGGCCTTTCCTTTCTCTTTACCCATTTTCACTTTTTGTTCTCTCTAATTTCACCACACACACACACACACTCACCAGTAAGGTATACTGCCTTCCATATAGTACACACAAAAGGGTATCGTAGATGTATAATAAAAAAGGTGTATAGTATGTATGTACCAATGTCATTAGACAGGTGTTGGATTACTGACTCGGCAATAGCAAGTCCTTCAATGGCTGACGTACCTCTACCTAAACAAAAGCAATATGTTCCATATGTCTATAATGCAAGAAAGAACACAAATGAATGTAATTAATCCTTGTTGTGAAGGAAACTCAGCCGTGTACATACCAATTTCGTCCAGTACAACGAAGGAGTGGCGGGTTGCCGTGGCGAGGATGTTGGCAGTTTCGGCCATCTCGACGTGGAACGTGGACATGTGTTTGGTCACATTGTCGGCAGCTCCGACTCGAGCAAACAGCCGATCTGCCACACCCACTACCGCCCTCCTAGCTGGAACAAAACTACCCATCTGCAGAGCAACAGGGAAGTATTAACAAACCAACAATACGTGCGACCTTATAATCCACCTGTGCCATTATCACGAGTAGAGAGTTCTGTCGAAGAAAAGTGCTCTTCCCTACGACACACACAAAACACTCACCATCCCACAGTATTACTATCCCAGTATCCCACACCTTTCTCGCTAAGGTTGAGGATAAAATCCCCGAAAAGAGTTTAACAAAAACAGAGGGAGGGCCCTAGGCATCCATAGGTGTGATAGAGTAATCATCTTGGCAGACAGGAGCCGGTGGGGGCAGGGGTGCTTGTACAGCACACGCCATCAAAGGTGATAATGTTTCTACCAACAGATTCCTTTTGCACTGGAAATCACATTCAGTTTCTGGTATAATGTATGCACCGCTAGACCAGCAAGGGAAACCGTGGGGTTCCCACACTATGCAAACACTACACTCCAGGCGCCTTCCTAGTATATATATACCCTAGTATGACCATGTATGGACACAGTACATAGAGTTTCCTTATCTCTATCGCCCTCTCTCCTTCTACCCTCGTCCCTAGGATAACTTTCTATGTACAACGCATGTGCTTCAAGTCAGCTAGAAAGCAGCATTCATGTCAAGAGACACGATGACAATCTGCATGCATGCACATTTGATGGTGCACAGAGTACAAAATTGGGAACTTTCTTTCTCCGTTCTTGAAACCCTCACTCCCTCCCTCCCTCCACACACACACACACCTCCCATGTTAGGTCCAGTGAGGACCCAGAGTCTGTGAGGGTCTAGAGAGCAGTCGTTGCTGACGAAATGATGAGAGAGTGGGTCACTAGAAGAGGCCAGGACCGGGTGAACCCCCTGCTCGACTTGGAACACTGCCTCTTCCACCACCTTTGGTCTGGAGTAGCGCTAGAGGGAGGGGGAAAATCAGAGAGAGGAGGGTTAAGATGAAGAGGTGGTAGAGTTGAACCCCTCTCTAAGGATGAGGACACCTATTTACTTTTGGCATGTGATTTAGCCCCTGAAATAAGGACACCTCACTAATACGGTTACAGACACTTTATTCCGCCCCATTGGTGTCTGGATTAGAGAGGTTCCACTGTATTTCGTACCCTCTCCTGTGCAAGGAGACCCAGAGAGGTGGCCACGTCAAGTCTTGCTAGAGAGGCAGCAGTGGAGGAAATGTCTTCTGAATGAGCCATCACCTGTAACCATACCAACTGACTGTAGAACATTTCCAACACTACACACACACTCTACAAAAGCACACACTATTAATTCTCTGTGCAGTTATTGTCGGCAATATCTGCGGTGGCACATATAGCTACAACAGTTGTCTGCGGAATTATCATCTCCTACCCACTCACAGAGTGTTTCTTTCCCAGGCCTAAACTAAGATCGTGATGTGGCTAGGGAAGTCCTAAGGTTCAGGAAGGAGCGAGCTGTGTAACGAATCCAGGAAACCAAAAAGAAAGAGGAAGGAAAGATCATTCAACTTGATTCAGAGGAAGAGGAGTGAAGTGGTGGGTGACGACTACCTACCAATTCAGGAAATGGAACTATCAAAGTAGAGAGTGGGTGGCCCCCTATATTATCACCTTAATGACCTAACTGGTTTCCAGTAACACACACAAAGTCCCACCAAAGAGTAGTGGTTTAGTAAGGATGTGAGGTCAGGTCATATGTGAGGTAGGCCAGCATATGTACACAGGCAACTCTGTTGCACAAGACTTATGCCAATACTATGTGTATGATAGGTTGATGATGATGCAGCAATCTCATCGATTGATCTGCCAAATACAGCAAGTGTGGAGGCACAATCAGTTCCTTATCTCCTATGAAAAAGCGCAGACGTAGAAGAGTTAAGCAACAGTACAAAGGCAAAACCAGAGCAGTGGCAAAGGTGGGAGACGACAGGTCCCATGACCCATTATACCAATACAGTTCACTCAGCTTTTAGCCAGCAAGATAATGAGCTACTATAGACCTAATGGCCAGATCTAACGGAGTGACCACTAATCAATCTCATTAGACCAACAGAGACAGCTGCAATACTATGGGTGAGGCTCTGTCAGCTATATACATCACCTTGTCACAGAGGAGTTGAAAGAGGTTGTCCTGGATCTCCATGTAGTCTGCCTCGAGACTGTGCAGCTCCGAATTCAGAGTCTGCAGGTCCACATGACTGGGACAAGAAAGGGAGGGAGGGAGGGAGGGAGGGAGTATCATGGACAATTCAGGGTTGAAGTGTGCTCCATACTCACGTGTATCTTGCCTTCGACTGCGTATGATCAATGCTGTGTAGTAAACAGAGCAGTTAAACACACATGTTGAGAAAATGTTTGGAGAGAGAGAGAAAACTTCCACAACAACAACACAAGTGAGGAGCCAATTGTGAAATCTTGGAATGCGACTGTACTGTGAAAGGTTTCCTAGATTGTGAGCTGACCGAATGAGTTGGGGGAACCGGTGGAGCTTTACTGCCTGGGCTCTGGACAGTTCAAATACCCTTCCATACATCCTGTAGGCCACCACTGATAGCTTGGTCACACCCGTTTGCTCCCTGGGTATATATAGGGAGGCAGAGAATAAAGAGGAGGGGAAGAGGGGGTATAGGGGGAGAAAGAAGAAAAGAGAGGGGGAGGGGGGATACAGGGTGAAGAGGGAGAAGAAAAGCAAGAAGAGGGGAGTTCCTTACTGCAGTGAGGATGCCAGTCTCTGAACTGCATTCTCATTCTCTCCCATCTTCTCTCTCAGCCTGTCTACTTCTTCAGAGTACCCTGCACACACCGCACTTATGGTCATCTAGGGTTCGGTAATCCTACTACAACCACATCCTCTACTGACGTTATTGCATTATGGGAAACTGTAGCACTGTCATTTCTCTGCCAAGTTTTGTGGGCATGTATAGAGCAATGTATAGAAGAAAGAACATCTCTCAAAGTTTTTTTGGCGATTTTTTTGCTTGCAAGTGAATCACGAAAGTCTACTGTTACAAAATGTCTATAGCTGCAATTGTTGTTGAACTCCAAGTGTGTATTTTGGACTAAATGCCACAAGGAAATGACCTCACACCGACCAGAGTTCACTGTATATTACATCATAGTAAAAGATGTACCACGGCAGAAGGAAATACAGAGATAATATGCTAACAGATGCTAACAGGAAAGGCAACAACCGGAGGATATCTTGTCAACGTAGCTGACCTCTGGGGAGACTTCAGGTCACGATCGCAATAATTATGGCAGCAGCCAAGTCAGGCAAAACATACTCCTTGCAGAGCTGCCTTATTTTTACAACTATCAAGCCCTTACTTCCACAATTGTTCATTCATGTAACAGAGAGAATATTGGAATGAAACGCAGGGCTTCTCCACCTCTGATTTTTATAGTGATTCACCAGAGGAGATAAAGTGGCAGCGGTTGGGGTGTGGTTCGCCCACTGCCCTCCCCAGCTCCAACACCAGGTGAGGGAGATCTATTAGTCCACTGGTGGTCTCCTCTACCAGCACTGTCCACAGGGAGGCCGGCAGCTCGGGCCGCATTACCTCACTCATGTAGCGGAGGATTGACCCTGGAGGGTGTGCGGTGTGTGTGTAGTGTAGTTAGTAGAGGGTATGTGCGTGTAAGCAGGGATGAATATTTGGGTATTGAAGCAAGAAACTTGTCAACTCTGAGCACCAGATTCACAGTAATATTGAAATGTGTAGACAGGGAACTCTAAATGAGAAGAGAGAGCCCACCTGCAGTACAGAGAGTTGTTTGTATTGCTCTGAGATCTCCCGCACTGCATGACATTATGGCTACCTGCAGACAATGATGTCATGTGACCACTGACCACACCCACTCGTTACCATGACTACCTTCTGCAGGGTTCGCTGGACGTCTGCACACGATCGCAGCTGCACTCGTACGGCCTCCCGGTGCAGCGGAAACAAATGAAACACCTCCACCGTGTCTAGTCGCCTGTACGACATTACCATGGTAACCACCGTTGCCATAACAACAGATGAGGATCCTCACTTGTTGATGGAGGTGACATCAGTGAGAGGAGCTCTGGGAATGAGTACATAAGTCACAGTATAGAGTGAGAAAAACTTTGAGGCATAAAAATTTGACATTCCATCCGCAAAAATTGCGTGCACACTTACAAAATTTGTGAAGGATTTCATTCTTATTGCTATCTCAGTATTCTGTTTAGAAAGTTGTACTCCTAACGACTACAGATGCCTCACGTGAGTCTGGCTCGTAGGAGCCTGGCTCCTGCAGCAGTCAGTGTCCTGTCCAGTGACCCCAGGAGAGTTGACTTCTTGGAGTTACCCTGCTGGGGGCTGAGAGGGAGAGAGAGAGCCGGGGATGGGAGAGAAATGGCAACTGAGAGAGAAACGTATGGTCCCCAAGCTTCCCTGTGTACATGTGCTCATTCTGTGTTCATGTAGGCAACTTAACTCAGCCTGTTTAATCCACTGTAGAAATCAGTGGGTCTTTCCTTTAAGTCTACAATTAGCAATAATTCTTCACCACATACACACACACAAACATCGAATGTGAGGTCAGAAAATAATGAACTCTCAGTGAGGCATCATCAGGGTGGAGTTAAATTGCATGTAAGAGACTGGTGTGGTAGGAGACCTGACTAGCTCCAGAGCCCTGCGAGTGCTGGCGTCAATGGCCAGGTGGTGACGTTGGGAGAACGGGGAGGGTGGGAGAAGGTGGGGAAGGGCGTGGCGATGGGTGTGGCATATGTACCATAGCAACGCACTTGCTGCACTTCTCTGGAATAACAATAACCTTAGCTAACTTGATGTGAGCAGTAAGAGAAAAGTTAAATTTCTAGGAACAATGTTAAAGACCCATACCTCCAATTCTGAGAATCTGCTGTCACTCACGATAGCACTGAACAAGCCACTTTCCATGTATCTTCAGTGAGCCCCCAACAAGTTAAAAGTTTGTGAACAAACCCATTTCAAAAGCTCAACACTACACATGTATTCAGGTATATACCTCTGGTGAAAGTGGGATAAGTCTTGCTGTCCCCCTCGGCCCCTCTCCTGGTACCACTCCACTGGTACTGCTGTGATGCAACACTCTCTCAGTAGAGAGGACTGCAACAGTCCCTCCACCATCGGGCAACTGGACAGGCCCATTGCCTGAACTGGACAGGCCCATCCTCAAATTGCCTTTCACCATCTCACTTATGTCTTTTGGTAGTAGGACCTGTATATACACCAATCAGGACATTCTAATAGATGCTCTAACAGGACGAGTGACCAGGACAGCTTGTCCTGAAAGAACTCACTTCCGATGGAGCAAGTCTTTCCAATTCCTCATCTAAACTGACCACGCCCACCGATGAAACCTATTGTACTGCTATCTTAAATTCACAGAGAAATTTTTACCGGGGCGGCAAACAAAATACACAGAGCATAAATTTTGAACCATTACACAATGAAGAGAAAATATGAGCTTGCTATATTATGCTCAAAAGAGTTTGCCTTGGTAAAAATATAACAAACATAGACCTACCACAAATTCTGAGGTGGAGACGTCGGCCCATGCGAGGCCAAGGGTGGAGAGAGGACCAGGAGATATGGAGAGGAGGAAGTTGGATGAGTGGTCCAGTGGCTCTGTGAGGGTTCCCGGGGTTATCAGTCGAACAACCTCCCTCTCCAGGAGGGATGGGGCACTCTGGTCACTGTGGAGATAGTACAGTAAAGACCGGCATAGGGTAGGTGGTAGACTAAGTTAAAAGTGCTTAGTATAGGAGAGTTATAATGTGTTTGAAGGACCGAGAGAGGAAAAACAGCAGGGTAGGAGTTGTGAGGAGAGTGACTGACTTCCTGGAGGGTTGCTGGTTGCAGATGGCCAGCTGTAGCCCCTGCCTCCACCAGCTCTCTCTGCCACTGGTCCAGAGATCTCACTGGGAACCCTGCCATCAGGACACCGGCCTTTTTGGTCAGTCGGAGACTAGTCTTAGAGGCTGCCTCACCTGCCGTATGTGTGTGTGAGAGAGAGAAGAAGAAGAGGGAGGGAGGATTGTGAGATGCAAATGGTGCTTTTTGCTAACTGGCATCATTTTCGTAAAGCTCGTAAAAGTCTCCGACTTGAAACAGGAGTATATGGTCCGGAAACTGTGCCTTCACTCGATGAAACTGAGTCATGAGACTCGACCTTCGAGCCAGAGTCGAGTAGAAATGATCGACTGCGGCCTGCCGTGGGGCCGGGAGCGGTTTCCCGGCAAAATGCTGTCTTCTGCTAGCTATTGGGAATAGTTTGGCTCCCGCCCTTCCCGACTGGCGGAGCGTGTGTCGCAGTAGAAAGCCACGGAGCAGGGAAAGATGCATCGCTGAGCCTACACGTGGATTAGGGGAAATCCCTAATGTTTGTCGACTCAGCAAACGCTGGTGCGGTTTCGTGCGCGTTGAGTCCGTTGCGTCGTCGTATATACGCGGTGAAAGAGTTCATCTTTTGACGTTCTGTGGGTCTTGAAAGGTACAGTTTGTGTCCAGTCTTGTGTGTAAGGTCATGGGAGACAGAAACGAAGTCCTCGCCAATTTCCAAGTGAGTTTGAACGAAAAGCTGACGTGTAAACCGGTATCTAACGGGCGTTAATTAGAATCGTCGTCTCTCTTCAGGCCCTGAGCAACATAGAGGATATAGCGATATGTCTGGACATCCTGGAAGCAAAGGGCTGGGATCTCACGGTACTATAGAACGCAGCTATACAATCATAAACTATTTGGCTAGGAGTGACATCAATTTACTATTTTAGTAACATTGTATTGTACACAGGCTGCAGTGAACAGTGTGCTCCCTGAGAATAACTTTTCTCACTCTACTCCAGTTGTCCACCTACCACCACTACAGGCGTATGTTTTTCTGCCCTCTCTTTCTCCCTTCACTTACGAGCCCCTCTTATCCAGACACAAAATAGAGTGCCTGTTAGTGAGGTACCAAATAGAGTGCTTGTTAGTGAGGTATCCTTTATGCAAGAACTGTTCTTGGGGAAAGATAAGGTGTCCTTGTTAGAGAAGTGTCCTTTATGCAATAAATGTTCTTGGGGATAGATACAGGTGTCCTTATTGGAGGTTCCACTGACAGAAGTGTGATTGTCATTGTGTCTCCTCCATCCAGGCGAGGGGCAAGAGTAGTGGACCTGACTGGGAACGGCACCAGTAGCAGCAGCAGCAATGGCTCCGTGTCCCAACCCCATGTCGTGGATCTGACTCGGGACCCTCTCCATACAACACACACCCTCCCCAACAAGTCAGTACTGAATACTGTAAAACCCTCTCTAAAGACACGACACCTGAAATGAGGACACCTCTCTATTGCGGACACCTTTCTCCCAGAACAGTTCTTGCATGTAATCTTACCCCTAATAAAGGACTAATGTGGACACTTAGTCATTGTGGTGTCCAGATTAAAGTACAGTCGATCTATTGCGTAACTCTTTTCTCCCCTACAGCCACCCTCACCCTCTCATTCCTCGTTTCGACGTGGGTGTTGGCCCCGCCCACCCTGGTCCCGGGCCCAGCATAACCCATCGTTTCCCTCCCCACCTCGGCTCCCCGGTTCACTATGGTCCTCCCGCACTACCCTACCTCCCTCCCTACGCTGATGATGACGAGGAAGGAACTGTGCAGTTAATGGAGGCTGCACTCTCCAACCAATCTCAGGTGATCTTCATCCATATACGTGTACTAATGTTTGAACTACATTGGAACAAGTGATACCATTCATCTGATTTGCAAAAGGTTTTGTTTCCCACGGTATTACATGTACTGTATAGATAGGTACGTATGTAATCAGCATACTTCTCGCGTAATTAAATTTCCGACTCTATTTGGTTGTGTTTGTTAACACTGAAGTATCATGTTTCACGTTTCCTCTGGTTTTCCTCTCCCTCTCTCTCTCCCTCTCTCTCTCCCTCTCTCTCTCCCTCTCTCTCTCCCTCTCTCTCTCCTCTCCCTCTCTCTCTCTCTCTCTCCCTCTCTCTCTCCCTCGTCTGCAGCAGGCCCCTGACCCCCCCATTACAGTCAGCAGTAGCCCGGCCTCCAGTGCCTACGGAGATGCCTGCGACCATCCAAACAACACCGAGGGGGAGGACGATGAGGAGGAGGAGGAGGAGGAGGAAGATATGATGGAGGACACAGTAATGGACACCCTCTCACTCGATGGTGACTTCTCTCACGATGATTCCGCCCGGAAGGCCATGAAAGAACCTCTCAGTGAGTAAAGGGTTATTAACACATTAATGAATTCAGTGACAAGAGGGTTATATAATTATTAAATAGCTAAATATACTCTTTCTGATTATAAGAGTTGCCTGACTCGTCCGCATTCAAATGTTTATCACTTTCGTTCTGTGGCTATGTAGGCATTTTTTCCTCCCTTGAATATTTGTGCTCCTGAAGGGTCTAAGAACTGTTCTCTCTCCCTCTCTCTCTCTCTCTCTCTCTCTCTCTCTGTCTCTCTCTGTCTCTAGTACCGGAGACCTGTGTGGAGGTGACGCAGGCTCTGCAGTTCTTCACCAGTAGGTTTGAGGGTCGCTACGGAGCCATCCACCCTCTGTTCTTCATCGGGGCTCTCAAGGAGGCAGTCCGCGAGGCCACCTCTGGAGTTGGGACTGTGAGTACACTATAACCTCCGATAATAGACACTCGGAATAAAGGGAAAAAATCTCTCGATAAAGGACACACTTGGAGGTCCCAAACGTTCACTCTTCTATCATTCTAGTACATTTTTAACCTCAAATGAGAGGACAACCTCCCTACAATTGACAGAATGCCTTCAACGTGTCCATTATTCAGAGGCTCCACTGTGTACTTACTGATAGAACACCCCCCTTGCCTTCCAATGTGCATGTACTTGTAATCGAGGACACACAGGTTTTCATTGGTGACGGGTTGTCTTCTTGTCTTCCAGCACAAACCAATGTTGGTATATCTTCATCACGATGCCAGCATTCTGTCCAACATCTTCTGCAGGTGAGCAAATCAACTACTTACTGTATAGTTGGAGGGTGGAATAGCAACACTATGTATCTCGCTGTATCTATCCCCATCTCACCTCTATTTCACTGTCTCCCTACCCATCCAATAAGGGTTCAAATTTTATTGCAGGCACACGAGTATAGTAATGACTTATCCCTTCCCATGTGTATCTAACGTTCTGTTGTGGCAATGCAGTAACCTGCTGTGCAGTGAATCGGTGGTGAGCTACCTGACCAGTAACTACATCACGTGGGCCTGGGATCTCACCTCCCCCCGCCACAGAAAACAGTGAGCCCCTCTCAATGTCGACATCACCACACAGTGTTACTAAAATTAGCAACCTGGACTATTTATAGTAGCGTATGATGTCATTGACCTATAGTGCTATAATTACGCAGACTGCTGGATATGATAGGAGAGTGTTTTGGGCAGATGGCTAAGGCGAGAGTGAACGACATCCATTCAGACCATCTTCCAGTCATCCTTATCGTCTCAAAGGTTCAGGGTTCGGTGGACGTTCGAAACATAATTCAAGGTCAGATTTAGAGAGAAGTAGAAGAGAGAGAGAGAGAGGAAAGTCATCCACATTAATTTGATTAGGTGTTTGAAAAATCTCACTCTGTGGTCCTATATATACTTGGTGACTTTATCAATCGGTGATCCTTCCGGTCTCAGTATAATAACCAGAAATTAATCGGTTTAAAAAGAACCTGGAAGAGATTTTAAAGCTCTTTTCCAAAGCATTGCGCGGTACATTCTCAACACAAAGTATAATAATTATGCATAATATAGTGTGGTTGTTGCTTGTCTGCCTCAGGTGAGACCAATCTAGATGGACTGATGACGTCGTTGATTACAGCTGTGGAGGAACACAGCATGCAGATCGAGACTGAGAAGAGAGAAGAGGTAGGGAGGAAGGGAGAGAGGGTTAAATGGGACGAAATAATAATGTGCCAGTGTGTAACTCTTTGTGTGCAAATAAAGATGTACATATCATTGCTTCAAACCTGCTTTGTTCACCTCTCCACCCAATGTGTTGTGAGCATGCAAAGACTGGTGAGTCTTGCTTGTTGTCTGAGTGGGGAAGAGGAGCAAGAGAAGGAGAAAGATTAAGGGAGGTAAAGAGAGAGGGAGAGAGTGATTCTGCCTGTACCGCACAGAGGGAGAGAGTGGCCAGGGAGATGATGATAGCGGAGCAGAACGCAGCGTACCAGGAGTCCCTGGCAGCCGACAGGGAGAAGCTGAAGAAGAAGGAGCAGCAGAGGTTACAGGAGGAGGAGGAGAGAGAAGAGAGAGAGGTCAGTGCCAACAAACAGTGCACCCTACACATGATGGACTACAACACTATGTATAAGAGTTGGAAGCTATTAAGAGGGAAAACTATGTGCAAACTTCAAGGTGTGACAGCCGTCTCTGTAAAACAGTTATTTTTCTGCAACGGCTTTCATTTGTAATTGGAAATCGTGTATATATGTGAGTTGGACATTTTCTCCCTTAAACTGTAGTAGACAGTAGTACATTAGACAGTACATTGTCTTCCCCGACAGGCCGTGAGACAGAGCATGGAGAGTGTGGTGCCCGATGAACCTGCGGCTGACACTGAGGACAAGATCTCCACTCTCAGAATCAGACTGCCCAATGGCAGCACCGCACACAGACGATTCCTCGCCAGCAACACCCTCCAGGTCCGGGACTGATAATCAGCTGGGGGCCTTTTTAAAGGGGGCTGTGGCAGTGTATAAGTTAGAAGCTTTTGAACACATTCACTTACTGGGCCCTGATGCATTCCGGGGCAAATTGGGTCTCAGAGAGTTGGAGGAACCCAGACCTCACTATTCTCACTCGATTGTATTGATGACTGATTTGCTCACTGATGCAGTGTGTACCATTGTTCTTGTGTGTAGGACCTACTGAACTATATAGGGTCTATGGACTTCTCGGTTGATGAGCACAAGTTGCTTCGATCATACCCACGAACTGACGTAAGGAATATCTTCAGTGCACCTCCCATTTTACACTCTCTCTCTCTCTCTCTCTCTTTCTGCAGTTGAATTCGCTGTTACCTAATCTCACTCTGGAAGAAGTAGGACTGTGCCCCCAGGATACGTTATTTTTAGAAGAGAGATGACGTCACTGTTCATTCAAAGTCTATTTATGGCATCACTGCACCTGTCTCCTCATAGCATCATCATGTTTTATTAGCGCACGAAATAAATTAAACCCCGCGCGAGTTGAACGAGGGATTTGACCTTTATACCCCACCTGTGACCCTCAGCTAGCTATGTCTAGAAGACAGCGCAAGCCAAACACGGCCTTTATGGCGGCCGCGGCGGGCTCCTCGGGCTCTACTGTCTCCGAGTCTATCCTGAGACAAGCCAGGAAATCCGGTCACCTCAACCTCTCCAGCAGGCAGCTGCAGGTAACGCTGCTTCTCTGAATTCTTGTCCGGAATTTCTGTCCTGTAGGACATCCCGCGGGCGGTGTGGCGTATCAACATCGACCCTCCTGCTGACGCGGGCCCAGTCTCATTCGGGGGGTCGGTGGAGGAGAGATGGTGGGAGCAGACTGACCTCACCAAACTAATTCTGGCAGGGAACCTTCTCTCTTCTCTCTCGGAGGACATCGAGTTCTTGTCTGCTCTGACTGTCCTTGACGTTAGACTATGTCTCTCCTCTTCTATCTCTCTCTCTCTCTTCTCCTCTTTTTCTCTTCCTCCTAATCTGTCCTTATCTCTATCGTTTCGGCACTTGTCTCTTTAGTTGAACATCTTTTACTTTAGGCTCATGACAATCAGATAGAGAAGTTGCCGGACTCGTTAGGAAAATTGCAACACTTGAACAGACTCATTCTAAGGTAGTCAATATCCATTGCCACTGCACCGTCACTTCGTCATCATTTTCTCTGCGGCAGTCGGAACAGGATCCCCTCTCTCCCTCCCTCTCTTTCCTCTCTCCCCCTCCTCACCATCCTGAAACTGGACCACAATAACCTCACTGCACTCCCCGAGACGTTCGGTCGCCTGGCAACACTCGAAGAACTCGACGTCTCTCACAACTCCCTCACCTCTCTCCCTGCCTCACTGGGTGACTTGACCTGTTTGCTCCGTCTTACCGGCTCCCACAACCAGCTTAACACGCTCCCAGTCACCATGGGAACCATGACTGGTATGTTATACAGTGCAGTGGAACCTCCAAACAGACCACACCCCTCCACTTGTTTCGCATATTAACCGACACACCACTTAAAAATAATATTATTTTAGTGTCGTACAAAGTTGACCAATGCAATATGATCCTATTGTCTCATCTTTCTCTCTCTCCCGTTTATTACTCAGCACTCAAGGAGTTGGTTCTGAACAACAACAAATTGGATTCCCTCCCACCGCGTACGTATGAGTACACCGATGTTTGTCGTAATCACAGATCAATTCCCCCATTACACCGAGTCATTATACCTCTTCTCCCCTCTCCCACTCTCTCTCTCTCTCTCTCTCTCTCTCTCACAGTGTCCAGAGTGTCGAGTCTGCAGATACTGACTCTTCATTATAACTCTCTGTCTCAGTTCCCAGCCATTGGGGACGGACGGAGACTAAAGGTACTCCGCATTTTACTGCACATTTGGGACGTGTGATCCATGTTTGTCTAGTGACAGAATGGTCCGGACATTAGAGTACATTATTATGATAATTATATGGGCTGTTTGTAATACAAGTAATATTGAAATTTTAGGAATTCAGTGGTAAATCATCTCAAATGGTTATCTTGCATTACCAGCTCATTATGCGTTGTTAAGAGTGTTTTATGCAATGTGCAGGAGCTTCAGCTAGGAGCCAATAGACTATCCAGATTAGATCCTGTCAGTCTCGTTTCTCTAACCGGTTTGGTCTACCTCGATCTGCGGGAGAACAAGCTTGGCAGGTCAGAGTCCTCCGCTGATCAGTGGGTGTGGCTTCAATTGGGTGGGTGTGGTCTTTACATACAGCATACCAGTGGAGATAACACAGCTGACATCATTGGAGAGACTGGACCTATCGAACAATGACCTCCTTGGGTCTGTCAACTAACCTATGAGACCAATGATTTTGTCCCTTGTATATAGAGAGGTCGTCCCTATCTTGGACGCTAAAGTATTAGCATGGGGTTGAAGCAAGTGTCCTTTGTAGAGAGGTCGTCCCTATCTCAGAGGTCAAATACTATTAGCATGGGGTTGAAGCAAGTGTCCGTTGTAGAGAGGTCGTCCCTATCTCGGAGGGTCCCTTATCGGAGGTTCCACTGTACCACAATCAAAACAAGGGTGTTTCATGTATGATGTATGATGTGTGTGGTGCAGATTGCCAAATGAGATGGGGCACATGCCACAGCTGAAATCCCTACATCTGGATGGAAACCCTCTCAAGACCATGAGGAGAGATATTTTACAGGTATTTATGGGAATAACAGGTCTCTTATGTGTGAGTAAATCTTTTCTTTCTCCCGGCTCTCTCTCTCTCCGTCCTTAATTCCAACAGAGAGGAACGTTTGAAGTTCTAAAGTACATGAGGGGAAGAATTGGTGAGAGCTAATAAATGAAAATTTAATCTAAATGTACTTTTTATAGATGTGTGTATATAAATGTACTGTTCTCTATATATGTGTGTATCTAAGTGTACTGTTCTCTATATGTATATGTGTGTATCTAAGTGTACTGTCGCTATAGAGACTCCACCAGAGCACCCAGCACATATTACCACCAAGCACACTCCCTCAAGAACCCCTCCTCCATCGAGGGTGGCTCACCAAACGGCCGCCACGTCTGCTGGTGGTTCTGCCCCGTCTCCTGCCTCCGGTGAGTTCTGTGGTAGAGAGGGAGAGAGAGAGGAGAGGGAATAGAAGTGGGGCAGATGAGAGTAAAAAGAAGGAGAGAGAGAGAGAAAGGAGAGAGGGAGAAGACACGTTTATTACCTCCAGGTACACCAGACAGTGGCTCAGTGGTGGGAGTTAGCATTGATGTCACTCCTGACACCAGAACACTAGACCTCACCCATGGAAACTTCACCCTCTTGCCTGACAGGTTGCATACATTTTCTTGAATCAAAATGTTAAGTGAGAGTGGTATAAATTATACAGCTTTTCTGTAGTGGATTTGCAAAATCTTTCACACTCTTAGGTATTCAGATCTTCACTTCTTTTTCTTTCGTTCAGTCTGTTTGTGCACAGTCAGCTAACGGAGATAGTTGCTGGTTACAACAGACTCACTGTCATCCCACCCGCCATTGGGAACCTCCTCAGACTCACTGTATTGGACGTCAGGTAAACGGGGAGCGAGCAAAGTGTCCTGAGTTAGAATCCCACCCAATAATCAGCAGCTCTTTCTCAAAAGGTTGTCCGGTGTTGTTTTTGCCTGCAGTGTGTTTGTGTTGTTGTTTATCAACTGTGCAGTTCTGCTGTATAATTATGATCTCTCTCGTTGCAGGAACAACCAGTTGAAGACTCTGCCGTCAGAGCTGGCCCGGTGCGGCGAGTTGAGGGATCTCATCCTCTCCTTCAACAGGTTCTCAAAGATTCCACCCGTCGTCTACCAGCTCAAGAAACTGGAGCACATCATCGCCGACGGCAACCAGGTTTGGGCACACCCCACTGGACTGCCTCTCTCTGGAATAACTGTAGATTTTACGACCCAAAAAATTTTGCTTCAGATAATCTCTTACAGAAGTTGTCAAATTGAATGCATAATTTCATCAAGTTTTCTTCTGACATTGTGCTCTAGTAAAGACGTGACTGTTCTTCTGTCAATAGATAACAAGTATAGACGTGGAGGGACTGAAGCAGCTGCCGATGATTCAGACTCTGGATCTGCAGAACAACAGTTTGGCTCAGGTCCCGCCGCAACTGGGAACCATCGCCACTCTAAAGTCAGTCCTCCAGTGAACTATATAGGACACTTTATCTCACAGAGTTGCACATAGTGTCTGTGTATGTAACGTGAGCTAAATTTGTAACCTAACTCTCTCTCTCTCTCATGTGCAGACATCTACAGCTTGGAGGAAATATGTTCCGTAACCCTCGACCTGCAGTGCTGGCTCGAGGAACAGCCGATCTCCTCCAGTACTTAAAAGACAGAATACCAACCTGAGCATGCACAGTTATATATTCACCTTCATGTCATTATTCTGTGTGGATAGTTAGATATCCACATATTATTATTATTGTGTATAGTGGAGAATAGGAAACTGGTTGTGATGTCTTGTAGGATAAATTTTTCATCAGTGAGTTTTATCTCGTGTTGTATTATTGTTTTAAGCACCGTTGTTTGTGTGAGATGTACAGCAGTGAAATATTAATTTCATGAGTGGCACTGATGTGACATAATCATGGACGTTGTGATTCTGTGTGTGTGTAACTAAAATTATGAGAAGTTTGAACACAACACAAGAAGCCAATGGGTATGCCATACATAGAAATAGTAAAGCTGCAAGTTGGCCTATATTTATCATAATGTATGGCCTGGGGCTATTTTTTCATGTAAACAACATTGCTAATAAACAAAGAAGTCATAAAAACCGGAGAAAAACATCGTCAGTGAGTGAAGTTGGTGAGGTAGAGAGAAGCAAAAGACCAGGGCTCCATCGTCAGTGAGTGAAGTTGGTGAGGTAGAGAGAAGCAAAAGACCAGGGCTCCATCGTCAGTGAGTGAAGTTGGTGAGGTAGAGAGAAGCAAAAGACCAGGGCTCCATCGTCAGTGAGTGAAGTTGGTGATGGTAGAGAGAAGCAGAAGACCAGGGCTCCATCGTCAGTGAGTGAAGTTTGGTGAGGTAGAGAGAAGCAAAGACCAGGGCTCCATCGTCAGTGAGTGAAGTTGGTGAGGTAGAGAGAAGCAAAAGACCAGGGCTCCATCGTCAGTGAGTGAAGTTGGTGAGGTAGAGAGAAGCAAAAGACCAGGGCTCCATCGTCAGTGAGTGAAGTTGGTGAGGTAGAGAGAAGCAGAAGACAAGGGCTCCATCGTCAGTGAGTGAAGTTGGTGAGGTAGAGAGAAGCAAAAGACCAGGGCTCCATCGTCAGTGAGTGAAGTTGGTGAGGTAGAGAGAAGCAAAAGACCAGGGCTCAGGGACATATATCCAGTTCTCTCTGTACTTGTGTCTGAGAGCCGTGTCTCCCCACAGTGCGGCCATCCACACAGCCACCAGCAGTGGAGTCAGCAGGACTCGAAGCAGGAGAAACGTTCCGTTGGGGTCCAGACTCCATCCGTACCATGCGGTACCAGGCAAAGATGCCCATCATTGCGAGACTAGTCGCGATAAAGTGAGGCAGAACCTGAGCCTCTGTGATTGCATACCACTCATGGAGAACACTTGCAAACAGTAGCCAGAGATAGGGAATGCTTCCATTTGGCGAGGGTTTAGCATTGTTGTTGTTGTTGTTGGTGGGGCGGTAGAAGGAGCTCCAGAAACAGAGGAGGAACAGGAGGTACAGTGCAGTGTACCAGATCTGGTGACCTATCTCTTCGTCCAGGTAGTCCAAGAACCGAAAGCACTCCACCACTACTGGATCCGCACTCTAAATATATAGAGCAGGGTCGCAAACTAAAGGATCCGGATTTGCCTGAGATTGGTGGCTTGGATTATTTTCACATTGGCTTTAGTATTATAACTGATTTAGGCCAGAAAATTATTGTGTTAGTCAATTACCTGGAGTAATGGTTGTTCATGAATAGGGAGGTGCAGCTTTGCACCTGCCCTCACCAGCCTCTGCTGGACTGCATCAGCCACCAGGTGGATGGTGGCTCCTACGACAAAGGTCACCAACAACAGACGATGGAGCAGTCTCGGAGCTTGTCTGGAGGAATGGTCTTGGAGCCGAGATAGGCACAGTGCAGTCAGGTAGTTGTAGGCCACATGAGCACAGTCACCTTGCGCGTGTGAAAAGAACATTGCTTGTGTTAGCTATGGGAGGTTTTTTATTCACATTTACAGTTGACCTGTGTGTGAGTTTGTGAGTGTAGGCTTGCATTTGACATCGGAATCACTGCCATGACAAGTGATATTTCAGTGGTATTGTGGCTCGACTTACTGAAGCTGAGCCAGGAAAAAGGAGACGCGCTGGTTGGGAGCAAGAAAGTGATAACGGGTCGTCCGAAATCCAACACCCACACTTGCAATACGAAAACCGTCCAGGTCGCCCACTGAAAAGTTGCGGCCCCAGGCGACAACGACGCGGCGCTCCGCTCTTTCTGCTTTGTAACTGTAGCCGTTGAAGAATGGCTTCCCTGCATCGTGTGGAAGCGCGCCAGCTCTCCGAAAGAGGCCGACTGATCTCTCTCTCCGCGCCACACCCCGCCCGGCGCGGCCCTGTTGCCGGCCGGCCGGCGCACGCGCGAGCAAGACGCCGAAATAATAATAGCGGGGTCCCGCCGCCGTCCGCGCGTACGTGTGCCTCTAGCTAGCCTAGCCTGTTGCTTTCGCGCGGCGCAGTCAAGAAGCTCGAAGAGCTAGAGCACGAAAGACGATCAAACGACGAGGTATAAAGATACAAATACAACAAACTTAAAACCAAAAAGCACGTAGCACAAAAAAGACGAGTACACAATGTAAAATGCAAAAACGTGTCAGTCCCAGGAGGGATGAATAACCTAAAGATGCTTATTGGTCGGGAGGAGTAGGTTGGTGAGGGTCCAGTGGTGAAGGCCTCTCCTGCAGTGCTCCGGCACCAGCTCTGTCTAATGGTTGCTGTGCTCCTGCATCTCTGACAGGCAGCGAGACTGAAGATGGTGCACTGTGTGATCTACCTCCTGCTCTGGGCACAGGACTGATGCTCTCACCAGGCGATGACACAGTGCTACCTGTCCCTCCTCCAACCAATCCCATATGGTGGTAGGGCTGCGGCGGTTGGTAGTGGTAAAAAGGTGGGGGGAAAAGAGATCTGAGAGAGTTTGAAGGGGCCGAGGGATGGGGGAACTGAAACGAGGGGTTCGGAGAGTAGAGGTGTTGGAACGAGGGAAGGGGTTGCTGGGAGTGGGCCAGGGAGGGAGGGAAGCGGTAGGTAGCAGAGTGGGACTGGCTCTGTGGCAGTGGTACATTCAGAGCTGTCACAGAGTTCGCTCCAGAGATCAGATGATGAGTTGAGTGGTTGGGAGACAGAGATTGTTGGGGTGTTGTCTGGGGGAAGTAGCAGATAGTGGAGCTGTTAGTGCTGAACACCACGTGAGGAATCTCCTGGCTGGACAGAGCATCGGCAGAGTCAGAGTGTGCAGGAAATGACGGACCCTCTGTAGCTACACAACCAGCAGTTGTGGGCAAGTCTGTGCCTTCTGGAGGGCGGGTAAATGGAGAGGAGATCTGGAGTTGACTGATTTCTATTGAACCACTGGAGGTGATAGTAGGCGAAGTTGGAACTTCATCGTTCTCGGCACTTTCTTGCTGGAGTTCAGTTGGTTGCCGCTCAAGCATCTGCTGAGGTTCAGTCCGAACCTGCAGCTGTTGTTGGTCCAGATGAGACTGCTCCATTCCCTGCGATTGTTGTTGTAGCTGTTGGATTTGCTGCGGATGAGAGCGGTGCTCTTCCAACTGTCCATGAGGCAGTTCTAGTTGCTGCTGAGGCTGTCCAGGCAGTTCTAGTGGTTGTGAAAGCAGTTCTAGTGACTTCTGGTGTTGGGTGAACTGCTGCTGAGACTGCAGAGCAAGTGGAGGACTCTGCTGCGGTTGAGGAGCTCCAAATCTGCGAGTGGCAGCCGTCACCAGAGCAGCCTGTCGTGCAAGGCTCGCCAGGTTGGACTTCAACCTCTGCTCCTTGATGATACTCCTTTGACTCACGCTCCCTGTCCGCAACTGTTTCTTGCCCCGTGCCCTCCTGTTTTGAAACCATACCTGCACCAAAACAAACACACACAGGAAGTAAAATTGTAGTTTCAAGCCACCAAAAGTGACCCTTTATCACAGACAGCCCCCTACGTCACTGTGTGTGGACACTGTGTGTCAACATTATTATCTAGTTGAGCACTTCCTCCTAGAGCAATTAGCGCCAGCCATACACTGAGACACTCACACATGTGTGACAGTTTGTGTGCATACTATGGCGTCCGTTTCCCCCACACAGCTACTCCTGTTCTCAAGCTCCCACTTCTACCTGACTAAAGCTTTTAAGTATGCAAGCTAAACGAGACTGCACAAGGCAGTGGTATAACACAACATGTATATACTACTAAGTAGAATTTTTTTAATTAGCTATTGGGAAATTGTAATTTGCTTACTGAAACAGAAGTTTTAAGAGAGTGGATGTAATGATAAACTTTGTGCAATTCTTAAATTGCAGAACATTAATAATTAAGCTTTATTGTATTGATATCTACCTGGATCCTGTCCTCGGGGATGCCAACTTGCCGAGAGATCTTTTGCCTGAAGAAGCCGTCGGGATAGGGGTTGGCGTGGAAGGCCAGTTCCAGGGCATCTTGCTGGGCCTGTGAGTAGGCCGTCCGCGTTCTCTTGGACCTTCTGCTGTTAGTTTGGAGAGGAGGAGAGGAGGGGAGAGGGGGGAGGCCAGGCGGAAGTCGAAACGAAGCGTTATTCAACTGGCTGCAGCTAGGAGAGTGATTGGGGAGTGATTCAGGGGCAGGGACATTGTTACTCTCTCCCTCTTCTTCCCTTTCTCCTCTATCATCAATGACAGCATTGGCAGTGGCTAGAGTAGCAACTGTGGGGGGTGAGATAAGACCATAAACCACAGAACACTTAGACATAAAGGGAAATTGCTGCCTCTATCAACTAAATCTAGAGTGGGACTGACCTTTTGGTCAACAGTAAAGGCTCAGTGTTTAGTGAGGACAAGGTAAGACTGGGATTAGACAACCTACTGATCCAGTTATCTAATTAGTGAGAGCAACTTGTGGTGATTCTAAGAAGGAGTCAGCTAGTCCTAGGTATGGGTTTAGATACTGCACTGCTAACCACACACAGATATCTCTATCAGTGTGGAAGGGAGACAAGAAACTTTGCTTGAAGGAAAATTTGTGGGAATAGTTACTATTGAGACTTTGGAAGTATGGGAAGGCCTTGCTGTGCTGTTGCTTGAGAGTGAGAGGGGGAAATGGAAAGGAAAAACTAGGTGCCCCGTGTGGGTGCTTGCCTGTCAAAATGGGAAAACTAGGAAGAAGGTCAGGGCAGGGGGGAGTGGAGAGAGATATCTTAAAAGGTGCAAGAATTCCTGGTGCCAGCTACAGCTGTCAGCCCCCTATGATGTCACACTAGCTGGAACACCAGTACACCACATGGCTATGCCAAGACTCCATGTGTTAATAGCGTGAAGAGGAGTACATTGGCACTAACAAAAGGCCCAAGGTATGCATAGGATGCGCCTCTGTTGTAGGCTAACATCACCGGCTACCAAAGCTGTTGTTATGCACAAGGCCCCCATGAAAAGACCCCATATACACGTGTTAAGATTTTTCATACCTATTCCATCATCTGAGCTATCTCCTGGGGAGCCGTTGTGGTGAGGTGACTCAGGTTCCTCCGCATTTTGAACAAACGACATCCCAGCGTCATCTTCACCATCCTCAATATAAGTTCCAGTCTCTTCTGCATCTTCAACACCGGATTTTCCCATATTCAGAACTAATTGCAAATTAGGCTTCCCTTCATCTCCGTCCCTAAAAGAGAGTGTTCTGGATTGTTTGCCACCCTTTTCCACTGGAGTGAAATTTTGAATAGACGATTGATTACCCTCTGGAATTTGAAGTGGCCTGTCAGGAGGGTGTTGTTGGCCTTCTAGTGGAAGAGAATGTAGAGAGATTGCTGTGTTATTGACGCCAGTCTGTTGTTGTCTGTCTTGGACCATGCTAGGTGGAAAATGGTGGACAAACGGAGAAGAGGAGGAAGAGTCTTGGAGATTTGGAAGGGAGAGGGGGTCAGGGTTGCTGATGGGCTTCTGGTCAGAGTTTTTTTCACCAACACCTCCATTTCCCGAGGGTAGTTGTTGGTGTGTTGTGAAGTTGCCAGGCTCTGTCAGTTGGTTAAGTCTTCCAGATTGCACCAAATCCCGAGGAGGAAGAAGGGGAAAAGGTAGGGACTGCTGCTGTTCTCCATTCTCGATTATTTCATTGGTGGAGACGCGGCGGTTCAGAAACGAAGGGGAGGTAGTTGTGTGATGATTTGTTGTATCTGCCGAACTGCATAGCATCGTGTGCTGGGCTGGAGTCACTTGCATGGGGTGGTACACTGGTGGAGGGTGGTGGGGAGGCTGCGAGAGGCTAAAAGGAGATGATTCCTGGTAGTACTGGATATAAGGAGGCGGTGGCCTTGACTGAGAAAGAGATAGATTCATCTGAGGTGGTTGTTCGTTCGGAGGGTAGTTTTGATAGCTGTTGTCTTGGAGAGAGGAAGACATCATGGCTGCCTGACAGAGTGTGTAGAGCCCGGCGTTGGCTGGATGGTACAGGCGCATGTTTGTCCCGTTCTCGTTGGCTGTTTGAGGAGATGGATCTGCGGGCGATGTCACAGTCGCAGACTCGTGATTGTGGTGACTGGGTGTGCCGGGTGTGTTTGGGGGAAACGGGGAGGAGGGAGTGTTGGCGTAAGACGGCGGCACGGGATACGGTGGGTAGACGCCATTCGTCCATCTCTGGTGCTCGGGTCTGGGAACTGGTAAATGGTGGTTGGTGTATGTCGGCAGAGAGGACTCCTGTTGGTATACACTGCCATACCCAACCCACTGAGTGGGCCCCAGAGGCTCTAGTTGAAACTCATTCCCTTCTCGAGACAGGGGGTGGCATTCGGAGGAGCTCACTCCAGTTGAATGTTCACCAGGCGTAGGACTGTTGTTGGTGGTGGGAGAGATAAGTGAAGCTTGCACTGGCTCCAGTTCTGGTGGCTGTGGTGCAAAGGCGATGGATGGTGGAGGAAGGAGCCGATGTACACCGAAGTCAGAAGTGCCTGGAGGTGCAATAAGAACAGACACAGAATAACAATCTAGTTTTTGGTGTGGATCATCTGCAGTGCTGCGTCATGCATAATGGGATATGCGGGTGTGTGACGCTAGCGTGCAGAGTGCGCTAGAAAGAAACGAGTCCGGAAAATTTCACACCTCTGGTATATAGCTATACCCCTCTCTCGACCGTTTTCGACTATGGTGTCTATCAAATCCAGTCAACACCTCACCTGAAGCGTCGTGGGTCGCTCGCCGAGGTTTGTCGTCCTCTCGAGCCACGGCTTGCCGACTGCCACTGCAGTTTGCGTCGTCTTCTCCGCCTCCGTACGTGCCGCACTCGCTGCGGCCGCCGCTGCTGGACACCCTCCGAGACCCGCCGCCGTACATCGCGAGGCCGGCGAAACACTCTGCGTACCCTGGAAAGGTGGTAAAAGGCCAGGAAAATAAATAGAAGCAGAGACGCACATGGGCATTTGTCACCTTCGGCTTGCGCTAGATTCCCCTCCCCTCTTGAGCTGTCCGATCCCTGTTCCCACATGGCTCGTTAGTTTTTGTTATCAGGTTTGTATTTCGCGCCAAATCCCCGCGTCGGCGCACGTGCGCGTGCGCAGCTATTATATTATTCTAAATAGTGCTCACTACCCACGTGGAATAGAAAAACCTGTCGAAAACAGCAATGGCCAGTGGGGGAGGGAGCAGTCTTGTGCCCTGCGTTTGCTGGGTTCCCAAAGGAGCCTCCAAGGAAAACCCGGACAAGGTTTGCCGACTCCTTGAGAAATTCCCTGATTCCAGAAAATACACCGTGCATCAGGTTGAACTGAGTCAAGAGGAGCTCCAGGAGCTAATGATGAAGGAAGCCCAGGAGCAGATGCGGTGGGATAGAACTTGCAGAATTAGGTCCACCATGTTTTGCTGTATCTGTTACCAGAGGTCTGGATGTGAGTCAAAAGAAAGAGGGAGAGGAGGGAGCAGGGGTGGAGCGGTCGGTGGAGGAAGAGTATAACTTGAGTCAGTATAGCTCTGACGAGAGTGGGGGAGAAGGTGAGCTCCTCTCACTACTTCACTGAGACAGTGTCTGCTGTGGTCCCAGGGGAGAAAATGACGGGGGCAGGAATGGGGAACGGGCTAGCTGGCCTGGCATACTTTGCCTCCAATGACAGCGATCCTTACATCACCCTCAAGAACCCTGTGAGAAAACTAAAATGTCAACTTCTCTGTGTTCATACAGTGTCCGCTCGTATTGAGTTTATTGGAGTACGTATTATTAGTTGCTTTTCTACTGCGCCGAGGGTTTGCAATTATTGAAGTACATATTAATTGCTTGTTTTTTTTCCACCTAAAGCCTCCAGAAGACAATGAAGAGGACGATTTCAAGATTCTATCAACTGAAAACCTTCTCATAGTCGGTAGAGCTGATGATGAATTCAGTAGTGTGGAAGTCCACGGTAAGCACGCGCCTCATCCTCGTGTTGTAGCGATTTAAATTTCTCTCAAGTTTTCTCTGACGATGATTTTCACTGCTACTGTCATCACGAAATCCTTCTCACGTCTTTCCCTCTCGCCATGGAGTGGATGGACTTTGACCCCGGAGAACCTGATAAGAAAGGTATATATTATTTTGACATATTTCTGAAAACTTCGCCGTTTAACTGTCTTAGTTTGACCTGCCTTGTTTTGTGGCACATGCAGGTAGTTACCTTGTGGTGGGGATGATGACGCCAGGTATCGAAGTATGGGACCTGGACTTGGTCGACGGATTGGAACCAATTCTGACCCTGGGTCCGTCGACTCTTGATCTTGCCATGAAATCCTCGAGAAAGAGCAAAAAGAAGAAAAAGGTATAAAAAGTGGAAGTATATGCCAAAATTAATGTTTTTTTGTCATGGGTAGGGAGGAGGTGATAGTGGTGCCAGTGGTGATTCTGGTGAAGGTCACAGTGACGCCGTCCTGGGTCTTGCCTGGAACAGCATCGTCCGGACAGCTCTCGCCAGCTGCAGTGCCGACAAGACCGTCAGAATATGGGACATGTGCGGCCCCAAGTGTGTCCTTACTCTCCCTCATCCTGACAAGGTCCTTTTGTACCCATTACTATATGCAAAGCTAATGCACGTTCTGGAGTCCATAATGTCTATTACTTCTTGTTTGCATTTCTTGGCTTATATACAGGTACAGTGTCTTCAGTGGCATCCCTACGACCCACAGTTGCTGGCCACCGGAGCTTACGATGGAAGGGTCCGACTCTTCAACTGTGTGGCTTCACAGGTGGGTGTGGCTCCGTGAATGTTTTCAAGTTCTCACGGTGAATTGGCATGTAGAACAAGACGAGGGAGTGGAAGTTGGACGGGGAGGTTGAGAGGTTGCTATGGAATCATCTGAAACCAGACCATCTGTTGGTAAATAGTGTAGCTAACACCGGCACAATGTGGTCGTTGTATGAGACTCTATCTTGTGAGTGCAGGCCAGTACAGATGGTCACACAGTACACTGTCTCGACAGAAACGCAGACTCTGCAGTGTTCCAGATCCATGCCCACACCGATGCCATATGTGGTAATGAGAATTCATCTGACACAGACTATCACTACTTCCCTCTGATGCTATATAACTCTGTGTATATATTGTTGCAGATCTGTCTCTCAGCTGCTATATGCCTGGGTTGCTCGTGACGGCCAGTACGGATGACACTATCAAGTTCTGGGACATACAGGTTTTAGTATTTGCAGTAACTTCTAACTTCTCTTCCTACCCACCCCACGTTCCGAAAATCCCCCCGGCAGTTTCTTCTTTTTCTTATTTGTTCAGTTGTTTATTACTCAGAAGGAGCGTTTTTCGTTTCAGAAGTTCTTTCTTTTTCTTTTCGTTCGGGGGGGTTTGTTTTATCGGTTCAGAATCGGGTTCGTTGTCAGGAACTTTTGTTCGGGTCTTGTTTTTTCTTCTTCAGAAATTGTTTTTTCGTTCAAGAAGGGTTCAGAAATTCTTTTCCGTTGTTTCAGAATGCTGCGGGGGGGCGAGTGTTTACATCAGAATTAAACGAAATTGGTTGTGTTCTTTGTGGGCTGCGGTCACTTTGTTACAGAAAGTTCCCTTTAGTATTTGTTCAGAAGATTCATTATGGTTCGGGTTTTGTTTTTGGTTCAGGCTTCAGGTCAGAAAGAACTTCCCGGGTTCGTTTTCACGAAATTTTCAGATTCTTCTTCAGTTTAACGTTAAATATGTTTTTCCTTCCGGTTACAGCGGTTCGAAAATAGTTCCAGAGTTCTTACCGGTTAAGGTTTCAGTTCACTTCGTTTGTTTATCAGTTCTTCAGAATTTCTTGTTTGGTTTTTACTTCAGAATTCCAGACAGTTCAGGTTGTTTCAGAATTGTACTTTTACAGATTTTGTCTTTCGGTTTTGTCTCGTTCTTGGGTTTTCAGAAATCTCTTTCAGATTTTTCTTCGGTTTATCATCCAGACCAGAATTCTAGGTTTCAGAATTGTTCTCTCGAATTTTCCTTTTCTCGTTCCTTTTTGTTGATTCAGAAAAATGTTGCTTTTCTTCAGAACCTTCAGTGTTCAGCGTACTGGTTTCGTCATCTTCTTACTTCTGTTACGGAAGTTTTCAATTTGTCTTCTTCAGAAAGATTGCTTTTCGTAAGAAATTGTTTTCGGGTTCATGCAGTTTCAGTCTTTTTTTTCCTCTTGGTATCAGCATACATGTCAGAAAGGTCGTTTGGGTTTATGGTTTAAGAATCGTCTCAGAAATGTTCGTCTTCAGGGTTCCCAGATGTCGTGTTCCCAGAAGTTCGGGGTTCAGTTCAGAAATTTCAGAAGGGTTTTCCTTCTTTCTTTTTTGTTTCTTCCAGAATTTTTTTCAAGTTTTTTTTTTATCAGAAAAGTTGTTTTTTTTTTTCAGACCGAGAACCATTGGGCTTCAGAAGGGTTTCACAGAAAATTTAAGAAAATATGTGGAACCCCTCTCTAAGTGCACCTCTCTTTCTATATACATCCACCTCAGGATGATAAACCCGTGTTCCTACTCAGCAGATCCATGCACATGGTGAGTATGTCTACCATATGCTACCGTCCGGTATTGCAGTGTAACAGTTCAACAGTTTGCAACGTGGTGGGGGATAATTGGAATGAAATTTGCAGGGGGGAATGTCATAGTGTACGAAATTGGCTGCGATCAGATCTAATGTGAATGTTTTTCTTTGGAAAAAAGGGGTTGTTGTGGTTGTGCAGGGAGCAGTGCTGTGTGCCAGGTTTTGTGTGGACTCTCCGTATGTCCTGGCAGTGGGCGGAACCAGGAATGGGTTTCAGACCCTTGACATCAGAGGACTGGTACCGGGTATGTTCTGCCTCTCAACTGCCTTGGTGCTTTATAATAGTAGAACCAGCTGCTTATCAATTGCAATATCCCCATCGTTATTAGCACTGATAGGTTGCATATTAGCTGTTAATTGCAGCTGTTTTACTACATCTCACAGTTGCTCAGAGATTCAGAGGAAGAGACATGATTATGCCTATGGTTCCTGATTAGCACAGTGTCATTTGGCAGTTTTGTGTTACACAATCATCCACTGCTGTAATGTTAAGAATGGGAAGAGGTGGTGGGTGGTGACTGAGGATAGAGGTGTGGGTTAAAGTAAAGTGACATGAAAGGTGAGACAGTGGAGTCTATTGGGTGTTGTTGGTGGTCCTGGAGAGGAGGAAATGGAGTTGGAGCGAGCCGAGTTATGAGGAGAAGAAAGTCAAGGGAAAGGAAGCACAAAGGAAAAGGACGGCAACAAGGAAAAGAGAATTGCACTAGCACACACGTAAAAAAAAGAAAAAACAAAAAAGAAAAACAAACAAAAAAAAAAAAAAAAAAAACAAAAAAAAAAAGAACAACACCCACAGAACCAATAAACAAATAAAAAAAAACAAAACCAAACAAAAACAAAAAAACACAAACCCCACCCCCCAAAAAAACCACACACAAACAAACACCAAAAAAACAAAGGAGTATATAGGCTCATGGCTATTGTCCTTCTTTTTGCGGGTTACACATAAACTGACGAACGGGGAAAAATGCGACGGAAATAAATTCATGACCCAGCGTTCGGAGATAGTCAAGGTAAACTATCAAACCAACACGCTGGTTTTGATAAATCAAGCCCTTCTCGGTTGAGCGCATGGCTACCCGGCGAGTGCGGCTCCTCAGCAGAGCCGAAGCAAAGCAGTCCGCCCGACAGTTTGTCTCTGGAGAGGCAGGTCGCCTGAGTGGACCGAACACATGCGGTACCGACGCGGCCATCCAGTTGGAGCTCAGCGCAACGCGAAGATCGCCACGACAGTAAAGACCTGCCGCAGAGCTAATAAAGAGAACGTGCAACACGAGGGTGCATATCCGAGGGTTTTCTGGTGTTGGCCACAGTCGTTAAGAAAAGCCGTCTCTAGCATAATTTCTTGTGCGTGGGCAGGGCTTGTGTCAGGGGAGCGATTACATATCGGTAACAATACGGGAC